AACTATTTATCGTTTTATGACGAGTAAAATGTTTTCGTCGCGTTCTCGGCTTTTAAGTAATGCATAAACCTTCGAGGTGCGAGGCCCTTCGGACCGCGAGGCATAGGCGGTGGCTCACGTTGCCCATGCCTTACGCCGCCCTTGGTCATAGAAATGATGTAATTTGAATATAAATTATTTATAAATACGTATGTCAAGTTATATTTTTATTACAACCCAAAATATATTTAAGAGTTTACGACCACTGTGCAGGGTGAGACGTTGTTGAAACAAAAATGTTATGCATTCCGTTACGTACATAAACAGTGTCGTAATTCGCCAAGTGCAAATCAGCAAATTCGTAAAATTTTTGTTTATTTTGAACAATCCGGATAATCGAGGTTCTACTGTATTATAAAATGATAAAAATCTTAATTTTGAGGGTAGGGATGGTTTTTGTAAAAAAATTGTAAATGCTGATAGCAAGTAAAATCGTCATTAAGTCCGACCTTGCTCGAGATATGACAAACGACCCTCTTTATCCCCACGCCGTTCACCTATAATCTCTAAAATTTAATAGCATCAATTCCCCTAATACACAAACCTCCCTGCAAAATTTCATAAATTTTCGACAAAAAGCACAGGAGTTAATAAGCTTCAAAGAGAGTGAACAAAATCGTGTCATACACAAACATATACTAACATCCATAAATACAGAAAAAACCTCGATTTTTATTTTCATTTCTTGACGTTTCAAGGTCCCGAGTCCAAAAATGTAAAATTCTGGGGGGTAATTTTTTTAACCTATCGCCATACTTTCTGCTATATATCAATATAACAGAGCAGGGAAAGTAAAAATGCATGTGACTCGCATCCAGAGAAGGTTGCTCATCACTGTTTTAGATAATCTAAAAAATTTGAAATAAGCTATAGCCTATCTTCATTTTTATTTGTTTTTCAAAATTTATTCATTTAGAAAATTTGGAATTGAATGTTTCTTTTGCTTAGTTGAAATTACTTTAAATTGATTACAAAGATACGGTAATTACGGTTGATTACGGTACACTGATAATGAAACAAGAGTATTTTTTAAAATCCTTTTTGTATAAATTTAGTATTCAGTTTAATAGACAATTTCAGATATAATTATCTGTCAGTTTTATATTTCATAATATAATTTTTTTAAAAATTAATATGTATATTAACAGACTACATTACAATGTAGGCCTATTCATAAATTTTGGATATTTTATATGGTTTTGTAAGTTTCGGCCATCTAGCTGCGAGTGTTAATTGTAAAAATTAAATAACTCTAAAACATATAAAAATCAGATATAACTGACCAATTCATTTTTCTTACAGATAGTTATGAAATATTAAGTGTGCGAAGTAAACAAAATACGAATTATTACGTACAGTACAGTACTTTAAATCGATACAATATATACATGTTATAACATATGTATATATAATCTATTTTTAATTTTCTGAAACCGTGTTTTCTAATTTCTTTGATTCACTTAACACAAGATGTGTTAAGTGAATCAAAAAAATATTACAACTAAAAAAATCTGCATTTACAAACATTTTTTAAACCCCCCTTCTGAGTTCGACCAAATCCATAGAGGAGATGGCTGAGAGATGAAGGGCCGAATAAAAGTAGAGTCCAGTAAACTCGACACTCCGTAAAACTCGTCATGTCGTCCAAAAAATAAATACAGGTAGCCCTCGGTTTACGCCGCAGTTCCGTTCCTACAAAAGCCGGCGCAAATCGAATCGGCGTAAAACGAACCCATATTTACAGTGAGGTATGGGGTTAGGTTCTACATAAGTGAAAAATAAGCAAATAATATTGTTTATTAATACAATATAATATAAAATACATATAAATTTTTAATTTTTAAAATGTATTTTATCATAAAATAAAGTGAAATGTTTTTATTAAAAACTTTTGGAATTCATACATTTTTCGGAAAAAAGTATCCATCTTTAATTGTTTACATTTTTGTTTTCTTTCATTGAAAATTTCGGAATATGGTCGAATGGATGCGATGATGCTTCTTTTTACATTTGCACTTACGTTGAGCTTTCTAATAGCGAGTTAAATTGTCTATAGCTATATAGCTTCACCTGAGGTTAACGGATTCCTGGCCGAGATAGAGAGCTTATGTATGCCGATCAAGGTATGTGCGAGGCGACATACCTTGATCGGCGGCTTGATTGTCGTGTCGTTGATTGAANTATAAATTTAGTATTCAGTTTAATAGACAATTTCAGATATAATTATCTGTCAGTTTTATATTTCATAATATAAATTTTTTAAAAATTAATATGTATATTAACAGACTACATTACAATGTAGGCCTATTCATAAATTTTGGATATTTTATATGGTTTGTAAAGGTGGCCACGAGGTGGTAACGTCTCAGTCTCTTTTTGTTTCTGGTGTGTCTTTTGAACTGGATCGTCTTGGATCGTTGGAGGGAATTCGTCGGCTTGTCAGGTTCGGGAACGGCAACAGGATCGGAACGGCGATCGAAAGATGGAGAAAGGCGGAAGGGACGAAGCAGTCTGCGATAGAGCACTCACGTCAAAAAGGAAGCCGGATCGGCGAACTCTCGAACTAGCGATGACCCTTGTCATTGAGTCACTCCTTTTATACCTCCACGTCATGTTATCACATTTTTCTTGATATATTAGTTTGGTTTTTTAATGTCATATATGACATAATTAATCCAGTTGAAAGTTAATCTTTGGATTCGGTAACTTGGCCAGTATAAGGAATTTTTCTTGAAATATTAATACTTTAGAAGTATATTTCGTCGACATTTACGATTCTTTCTTGCTATGGTAATCCATAAAAATCTTTATATGTATATATATATTTTATATATATTTCTATATATTTCTAATATATTCTTTATATATTTCTATTTATGTATAAGAAAATCCAGCAACGAATTGCTTAACTTTCCCGGTAATATTTAAAACCGCGTGTGGCGCAATCTGTTATGATATTTCATTTTTAAAACTTTTTATATTTTTAATTACAGTAGAACCTCGATTATCCGGACTAATTGGGGATGAAGGTAGTCCGGATAAGGAAAAATCCGGATAATCGAAACAAATACTTTAATTTGTCTATTAATGATAATACAACACGTTTTCTTTTCGATGACATATCGGTAATATTAACAATAAATACTTTATTTAAATCGTGATCAAATTTTCAAGAAACAAACGTTCGTATTGAATTTGGTCTATTACTGACCAGCGCTAACAGACTAGCTATTGTTTAAAAGGCCTTCTGGTGGCTCAAGAAGACGGATTTTATAAAATAAAAAGCAGTTGAAACTGCATTTTTATGAATAAAAATTTGACAAACTATTTATCGTTTTATGACGAGTAAAATGTTTTCGTCGCGTTCTCGGCTTTTAAGTAATGCATAAACCTTCGAGGTGCGAGGCCCTTCGGACCGCGAGGCATAGGCGGTGGCTCACGTTGCCCATGCCTTACGCCGCCCTTGGTCATAGAAATGATGTAATTTGAATATAAATTATTTATAAATACGTATGTCAAGTTATATTTTTATTACAACCCAAAATATATTTAAGAGTTTACGACCACTGTGCAGGGTGAGACGTTGTTGAAACAAAAATGTTATGCATTCCGTTACGTACATAAACAGTGTCGTAATTCGCCAAGTGCAAATCAGCAAATTCGTAAAATTTTTGTTTATTTTGAACAATCCGGATAATCGAGGTTCTACTGTATTATAAAATGATAAAAATCTTAATTTTGAGGGTAGGGATGGTTTTTGTAAAAAAAATTGTAAATGCTGATAGCAAGTAAAATCGTCATTAAGTCCGACCTTGCTCGAGATATGACAAACGACCCTCTTTATCCCCACGCCGTTCACCTATAATCTCTAAAATTTAATAGCATCAATTCCCCTAATACACAAACCTCCCTGCAAAATTTCATAAATTTTCGACAAAAAGCACAGGAGTTAATAAGCTTCAAAGAGAGTGAACAAAATCGTGTCATACACAAACATATACTAACATCCATAAATACAGAAAAAACCTCGATTTTTATTTTCATTTCTTGACGTTTCAAGGTCCCGAGTCCAAAAATGTAAAATTCTGGGGGGTAATTTTTTTAACCTATCGCCATACTTTCTGCTATATATCAATATAACAGAGCAGGGAAAGTAAAAATGCATGTGACTCGCATCCAGAGAAGGTTGCTCATCACTGTTTTAGATAATCTAAAAAATTTGAAATAAGCTATAGCCTATCTTCATTTTTATTTGTTTTTCAAAATTTATTCATTTAGAAAATTTGGAATTGAATGTTTCTTTTGCTTAGTTGAAATTACTTTAAATTGATTACAAAGATACGGTAATTACGGTTGATTACGGTACACTGATAATGAAACAAGAGTATTTTTTTAAATCCTTTTTGTATAAATTTAGTATTCAGTTTAATAGACAATTTCAGATATAATTATCTGTCAGTTTTATATTTCATAATATAAATTTTTTAAAAATTAATATGTATATTAACAGACTACATTACAATGTAGGCCTATTCATAAATTTTGGATATTTTATATGGTTTTGTAAGTTTCGGCCATCTAGCTGCGAGTGTTAATTGTAAAAATTAAATAACTCTAAAACATATAAAAATCAGATATAACTGACCAATTCATTTTTCTTACAGATAGTTATGAAATATTAAGTGTGCGAAGTAAACAAAATACGAATTATTACGTACAGTACAGTACTTTAAATCGATACAATATATACATGTTATAACATATGTATATATAATTTTAGTTACTCCGAAAAGAAATAATTAATTTTATTTTAAAATTATTTATACGTATAATATTTTTTATTTGATTTAAATTACGTAATATGTTTTGCACACAGTACTTTGATACTACCCGTGAGAAAAATGAACTGGTCAGTTATATCTGATTTTCGTATGTTTAAAAATCTGATGACGTCGAAAAGACTTAAGTCTGTTGGTAAGTACGCTTAGAAAAATGTCTCTTTTAATCATCCTTCTAATCATTCCCGCTTGCAAATTCACCATTATAACCGGAATTCACATCAAAGCTCATTTTAATCCTTCAAATAACTTAAATTATCCTCGCATTCGAATGGCTGAAACTCTTTCTTCTCTTCAACAATTTACTATATGTTCTTGGTTGAAACCTTACTCGATGAATAATGATATGTTGACTGTAATATCATATGCCACATTGAAAAGTGATAATCAGATAGTTATCACTCTCAATAAATATCATTCTGGTCGATTAATAAGATTTCATATTGGTGATCCTTATATAGAATTTAAGTGTAATTATGATTGGGTGCCGGGTCAGTGGTACTATCTTTGTGCATCCTGGTTTAGTGTTACTGCAACTGCCAAGGTTTATCAAAATGGACAACCTTGTACATTTATGAGATCTCATTTAAATTATTCAAAAACACCATTGCCATCGGGAGGAATATTAGTCATTGGACAAGAACAAGACAATTTCGATTCGAAATATGATGCAAATCAAGCGTGGCATGGTGACATTGCAGATGTTCATATCTGGGACGAAGAATTGAGCCCAAATCAAATTCGTGAAGCAGGACAATGTAAAGGAGGAAGAAAGGAAGGAAATGTCTTTTCTTGGATGAAGAGTAAAATAATTGTTACTGACAATGTCGAATTTTCAGAGACGGAACTTTGTTATTCTTAACCTTATTAATTGGCATTAGCCTATATTAAAATATTTTTACTGTAATTTAAAATAAGATGTGGTATTCTATATTAAAAAGAATTGTATTATTTTAATAAAAATCTAAAAAATGAAAATTGACATACAAATTTGTTGTTTATATAATAAAATGGTTAGTTGTGACTTACAAATCATAATTTTAAGATTATCTAAGAAAATTTTGAAACTAAGAAAATCTAAGAAATATTGAAATGTTTATAAATATTTTATTATACAGTATTTAATTAGCATTAAAGAATGATAATATAAAAGATATTTGATTCGAATGAGCCTATACTCCTATGAAATTTATATTAATTTGTCAAAATAACTGATATGATTGATATTGAAATCTAATTTTTGAAGAAGTTATTTATGATGATTACAAAATCCATCATCAAATTGAATCTTTCTGTTCCATAGTTCACAGTTCAAAAGGCTGGATATAAACAAACAACGTTTATTTAAATAGAATTAGATTATTTTATTTGATGTTCATCTATCTGAATTTTAAACTCGCATCCACTAAATTAAATTTGATAATTCCATCATAGCTGTAATCCAATTTTCAAATTAAACAAATTGTTAAAACAGAATTATTTTCCAAAATCGTATGGAATATATTTTATTCACAGCCGAGATTAAGTTTCTTAAAAATATTATTAAGATATTAAAATATTTTAAAAAATTAAGAAACAAATTTAAAATCTATCAGTTTTTTTAATATTGAATTTTTTATTCATTAATTTTTTCTGTAGTAAAAAGAATCAATAGGAAATAGAATTGCGGAACTTTCCTTATTAACATGTCTTGAATTCAACCGTCTTCAAAGAGCGTGATCCGTTTCTAGGCCATATCGAAAAGTAAAGGTCTCTTGTTCAATCTGGAAAATTCACTCTTTTATATCAATTTGACATAAGCTCATTAGTAGCCAAGTGGATAAAACCTCTGAACACCGATAGTTGGTCGTGGGTTTGCGCCTCGCTAATGGGCTGGCCACATAGGGTTTTTTCGGTTTGGTTTATTTGTATAAGGCAATTTGTCGAAGATTTTAATTAATTAATCCAGTATGGAATACTATGATGCCAAAAGGGAATAATGGATTCAAGCCGAAAAGTTGCAAAGGAACAGATCAGCGCTGGACGCGTGTGTAGTTAAAGATATCTCAAATATCGAAGCTTATATTCCACCTAGAAATAAAAGTTTTATTTGAAAAAATCAAAATTATACTCTTCATATTTTTCTTTAACATATTTTAAATCAACACATAACAGTAAACGATAAGTATATTTTCTATATTTTGCGAATAATTTTCAATTATGAAAAGAAAAATAATACTGTACTAAATATATTTCTAAACAAATTTATCCGTAATACAGGAGTAATGTTTTATTTTTTCAAAAATGAGATATTTTGTAAAAGATTCTTTAAAATAAAAATCTAAATTACGGATTTAATATTTAGATTTGCGTAGATGATAATTTATGATGTAAATTTATTTGTTTGCGTAATATCATAAAAATTGCAGATAACAATTAACTTTTAGGAGGCTCAAGAGAAAGAGAGAGAAGAGGAAATTAGTTATATTCAATAAAATTGTCTATCCCATTTTTTTCCACTCTTTTCGTCCTAAAGACACCAAAAAAGCCTTTTCTTTCCATGCTCATCATCGATTCGGCTAGGCCAATAATGAGGCAGCCGGGTGGCGAGGGACGGGAGTCGACATGTACGGCTAAATAAATGCTAAATAATAAATAATTAAAATATAAATAGAATACATTCGGATCCAAGACCTTGATAAAACTAAAGACAAATTATTCATATGAAGTAACTTGATGCGGTATTTATTCGTATTACTTTTACATTGTTGTTGGAATTTTTAATTAATATGGTTCGTAACTGTGATTTCAGATATATGTAAATAGAGATAGAGAAGGGTTGGTTTGGATTGCATTGGCTAACGGAATGCAACAAGAGATTGATCTGCCAAAGAAGTGACTCCCGGAAGGGCTTTTCATGCGAAAAATTGACTTTTGATTTAGGTATTAGATTTGTGAAAGATTTCAGAAAAGTTCACATGGCCAGTCCGTTGGTGAGGCGCGAACTCCCGGATAACTACCAGTGTTCAGTGGTTTTATCCACTCGGCCACTGGTAGGCGTGGTGGCATGGAGAAAAGCCATCTTAGCACCCACAGGCGGAAAGTTAAAAAGAATTCACCGTATAGTTGTCTTTTTTATTATAATAAGAAAGAATTTGAAAAATTAAATTATAAATGAAATTAAAATATTAAATATTTTCCAAATTTTAAACACTATAATTTAATTTTAAATTAAAATTTTCTTTACCTAGTTAGTCTATTTACATACTACATTTTTAAGAATTTCAATTGAATAACAATTGATTTTCTATTATTAATTTGTTTGTTCACTGAATTGTTACTTAACTTATAGACATCGCTGTTCTGATTATTATACATCTATAGAAATCTTAGACGTTATGAAAAACTACGAATCGGTCTGCGACGCCATTTTAAAAACAGAAGAGAATTCTCGATATATCGATTAATTATGGTAACTCGCAATCCTTACTTTGAAGCTTTGTATAAGAGCTCTATCAATTATTCCCAATATATCTTGATAGCAGACATGTTGAGCAAGATTATCGACTTCGCTTATATGCCAAACAATTTTCATCAAATGGTCAATTTTCAGAATGTTTTCTAACTAATTAACTTTGCTGATCAATTTCTTATATGAAGGATAAATACTTTAGGGTAAAGCTTTTGACAATTTACATTAGAGATCGAGAATTCGGAAATCTTGTTCCTTTTTTATCGAGAGGCTAAGGCGACAGGTAAATCTGTGTTCATGAGAGCTGATTGCTTAACAATTGATGGAAATAACTTTACGTTTGACCTATTGAATAACTAGTTGATGAAGTAAGTTTTTTGAAGACAAAGTCCTTCCCAAAAAGAGGAACCGCCATTTATTAACTTTGTGTTCCAGCCATTACACTTTTTAAAAAACTTTTTAAAAACTTAATCATAATTATCGCCATCGGACGAAGATTTACCAAAAAAAAGTTGATGAAGATTGAAACTTTTTTATTACCAGGGAAGTTGACGACTCATCAAATGGAGGAAAACTAAAAACTTTACTTGTTATCTCTTGCTCAGATGATTTTTTTACGTTAACGGTTTTATCTTAGAATAGCCAAGGTTTATTATATACTAATTTTGCTGATACGAGTTTTGTTGATTTTGTCTTTTCATATCGTATTATTGGTATAACTGAATCGTGGATGATATTTTCGATGGAAAACTTCTTTCGACGTTGGATTCTCAATTTTATTTTATTGAATTTCTAGCTCACAAATCTGAGGGACCTGGAAGATCATCTAGTGGTTTGTTAATAGTTTTCCCGGAAGCTTGGTAAGTTGGAAATTTGTCATCTCTCTGATAATTTTATTATCGCTAAACATACATTTGATAAACTTTTGTTTAATGATCGTTCTAGGCTTTTAATCGTCTTGGCCTATATTTCTATAGATAAACATGATTCATTGATTGAGCATCTTGATAGATTCATTCTTGATCTTAAGGAAGACGGTGATATTTTGATTTTTGGTGATTCTAATGCCAGAATCGCTTCTGAAATAGATACATTAGATACAGGTCGACCGCCGATGGCTATACGTTTAGCATTGGCCATTTTTAGATACTGGTTTAAAATTTTAGTTACCAGAATTTGACTTCAGAAAGTTGGTCTATAACAAATTGAAATTAATAACTAATAATTCTTTCGTCATAAACTTTGCCTTCCTTAGTCGAACATTTATTGTCTGATCTAGGTTATTCAATTGCTTATTGTGCTCAATTTATTGATAAAAACTTTTTTAGCTGAACTTTTCCAGTTATTAAAAGATAAATATTGGGCTCAAGATATTCTTTATATAGAGCAAAAGTGTAATTTTTTTGAAATTTCTCTATCTTTCCCATGGACACCTCGGTATTATCTGTTATCAAATTTAAACTATAAGATTAAATCTTTAATAATGCAATTACGACTGAAATAAATATACTATTTTATTAAATGGTCACAGAATTAATATATCAGCTTACTCCAATTGTCCTCTAATAGATTTTTTGAAAATGTTAGTAATCATTTGTTTGTATCTTGTGAATTTACTGAACACTTAAAGGATACTTTTGACAACTGACTTTAATATGATTTGTCTATACGATTATAATTTAAGTTCTGTAATGTTATATAAAATTTATAAATTTTTTTGTTATTCATTAAACATGTTAACATAGTCCTACTAATTGAACTTATATTTATTATCTAATTACAATTATGTATAACAACGTTTGTATTTTAATAATGTTGCTACGAGTTCTGCAACCCCTTTGTATAAGCGGAAGACAAAATAAATAAATGTTTGATTGATTGATTGACATTAATAAAAAATGTATATATACACTGTATTTTTTTATTGCAGAAAATATTTTCTTGGTTCATGCGATTTTCAAGAATCAGAATTCAGTCAACATGGTTTACAATCTCTTGATTTTTCTCAGGTTAGAAGTTCTCAAGAACTATTTTCCGATCATTTCTCACAGTCGGAAAAAGAGGTAATATGATAGGATTTTATATAATGGCTAATAATTTCCTATTTCCTATACATATACTATATATATATTTTCAGGAACCGTCCCAAATTACTACATCCATAAATTCAACAAGAAAAGCATCATTGATAGAAGACTTTGGAAAAAATACAGATGAAATGTTAAACGTTTCAAAATTATTAATGGATGCTAAGGAAAAAGATGAAAAGTGATCAATTATAATTTATAATAAGTATCTAATTTCCATAATTATTAGAAGTGTTTACTACCAAGAAAAGAGCTAAAATTTGGTGATATAATATACTTTTCATATCATATTTTTATAATTTTTGCAAAGTTGTCGCTATTATTTTTCTATTTGCATTTTTAATTAAAATATCAGCTGATTACTAATTATTTATTAGTGATTAATTAGCCTTTATGATACGAAATATTTCTTAAGTAAACGCAGCCAAACTTTGTATTATGATATATTATATCATAAAATATTTACAATATAATCACAAGAATATTAAATTAAAAAAATACATATTTTGAAATTAAAATAACAAATTTATTATTTTCAAAGTAAAATTTCAAATACAGTATGTCGAATTTCCGCTTCTCATTTATTTAAATTTATTTGTGCTTTTTTTCATTTACCGTCATGACTTGTTTTGGAATTCAAAATTCAATTAAAATTTCAGAAACAAAACTTTCAGCTATTAAAATATTTTTTTCATATATTTATTAAATAAATTTGTTTTTTAATTGTTTTCGATGAGATGACCATAGTGATCGGGCTTCAGATTGTTGTTGTGAATCAATCCGTTCTTAGACTACGTAGTTTTTCGAGAATATATGACGATCTTTGGATCATAACTGAGAAAAGGGAATTAAGCATGGAGGTCTCCATTTCTCTAGCTTCTCCAATAGCTGTAGAAGTATATATTGTTAATTTATTCGTAACCTTTTAAATTCAGGATTCTATTTTCTTTGTATCTTTCAAGAGATATAACCATTTGCTTTTACAGACATCATCTCATTAATGTCAAACGAATTTCTCTATTTAGCAATAAATGTTTTTTCTTGTAGATTTAAATATACAGTATTTTTAGACAGTGTTACTATCAATTTTTTGAGCACTCTAGTTATTTGGAGACAGCTAACTCAGTGGTTCTCAAATATTAGAAGAAATACTTCCTTTTGTAAAAATATTCTTGCATCCCTACATTTTCGTAAAATCATAATAACCCATAATTGTATCTTAGGATTACTTTATTCTAATAAAACAAAGATTTTCGAACTGATTTTTGATAAATGTCTCGAGTAAAAGAAAGTCAAAACAATACGGAGATATTTACTGCTAAATGAAATCAAATTTTGATATTGTGATGACTACATTATGGTCAAAACCATAACGATAGCTTACAATGTAATAATGTTAATACAATAAATATATAAATTGCGAATGTTTTTAATGTTATATTATACTGTAACTAATAGACGGAATATCGAGTGCGTGAAAAAAAAATTGTACTTGAAAATAAATAATAATAATAATGATTTCTTCGCGTCTTCCAAAGAGGCGCGCTCAGTTTGAGATTTACTGAATTAACCAAGTATTAGTAATTAGATTCATAAAATCGGTTTTCTGACCCGAGTTTCTGTAACGAGTCCTAGTTTCAGAAATTAAATTTGCTATTATTGAGATTTAATTGTTCTAATTTGAGATATTCGTACAAACTTGAATTCATTCAAATTGTCACGTTTACTAATGATATAAATTTATTTCATCTCAGAAAAATTTGTTTAAGTATAGGCTAATACTATGTATTAGCAGAATAATATACTGATAAAAAAGAATGAACCGATACTGCTTTCCTAAATTATTACTAAGAACCATATTTTGTTCTTATTTTCATATTTTTACCTGATATTTCAACAGTTCAAGTTAGAAAATCTTTCTAATGTGAACTGAAAAAGTTGTTTCTGTGTATTAATAAAAATAACGATATCAATCAATATTTTCCTGATAACACTTATAGCTGAATAATATTGAAACGAATATTTTGTATGCAAAACTGTATTTCATTTTTTTTCCTTTCCAAAAAAAAACATACATACATCATACACAGTATATATATGAGCATTAAGAGGAATTTTTAAATCATACTCATTGTTGCATATAATTATTATCATATATGTATATTACAATTATGTATTCTATTATTCTATTTAATATAGTTGTGTCAGGCTTATATTGTTCAAGTTATTAGAGGGGGGAAAAATGTAATTCTAGATAAAACCAGAAGAAAATTGTATATATTATCGTTTTATTTTTTAAAATCAATATATAATCAATATTCCCAAGAATAATGAAACATATTTCTCTAAATATTAAAATATAGGAAATCTTGATTTTTTAGAATATTTATAATTAAAATAAATGGCTTATGCTGAACATATATTTATCATTAACTTATTGACTTTGTTTCATGTTTAGGGTATTCTTAGAAAAAATTTCTCATGATATAAAAGAACATTCTTTGAAATTATCAACTCTCTCTGAAATTATGCAAAAAATGGTCGATGAAAACAGAAATAATAAACAAAAAATCTCTGAATTTATGGAAGGAAGTAAATACTTAAAATCATTATTAATTTAACAATAATCTCTATTTATAATTAACTTATATGTCTGCTTCTAGTAAACAAATATTTAGAAAAGACCGAACACGAAATTTTGTTGACATCACAAAACTTAAAAGAAATAATCAAGATTCAGGTGAGAAAATTAAAATTATTTTAAAATATTCTATATAAAATAAATTTACATTTTGATTGTGTATGACACATTTGACCTTACAATTTTTAGACATTAGATGTAATTGAATCTTTTAAATCTCTTGAAACGAAATTTAATTATTTTCTATGCATTTAAATTCTTCCTTAATTTAATATCAATATATTCAGGAATTATATATACTAAAACGAAAATAGATAATCTTTAGTGTTTAGTTAAATTATCGGTATATGATTGGTTCTTAAGATGTTATGGAAGAGAGTTAAAATAAACACGTACTGATAAAACAATTGAAATGACAATCTATGGTAGTTATAACACACCAATATACATACAAGGCAATTTATTAGGCATGTAGATGTTACTGTGAAAGACCGAAATTAGAGAATGTCGATATTCTCCGGTAAATGTCGATACATACAAAATACGTATTTTGTATGTGTCGACAATTATGTTATATTATTATACATTCGAACAATCGTCGGTGTATGTCGACAAGCACAGATAAGCTTTGGTGGAGGGCGAAGAAATTGTTAATACTTTTGAAAAAAATTTGAGCAGTGGCCATAACGAATACCATATTCCAAAGGAAAATATTTAACAGGAGCTGCAACCCACCACGTCTTCATATCAAGCCCTGACTGAACAACACGAAGTTATTTCTATAAAAAGAGCGGCCGCGAAAGAGAATCTTCTACTGCGAGCAACGAAAATGTTACGAACCTCAAAAAGAAAATTTCTTTCTGCTCAAATTGGTGATACCGTACGAATACAAGTCCCTGATGTCGACCGTGGCCGTACAGATGACCGAAATGTTGGTGGTTGTTGTTGGAATAGAAGACTTCGACTTTTATAAATTAGCAAGCAAAAATGGTACCCTCAAGTAGCTTTATTCCCGTAATCAGTTCGTAATTTGTAAAGAAAAGCTACTTTACATTGCATAGATGAAATTTCTTCCCAAGAAATATCACTGAGAGAAGCAGCTGCAGCTAATTCGAAAAGTGGAAGGCAAGGCTATACACGCTGTCATTGCAAAAAGAAGTGTTCCACGAATAAATGCAATTGTAAAAGCAAGGGACTCTTGTGCAATTTAAAGTGCCACAACAGTTTAAGCTGTTGCAATAAATAAGATTGTATAACCTTAATCACATAATTTATGTGTAAGTTTATTATTGTATTATTTTCTTTAATGATTTAGAATGTACTGTTTGTTTTAGGTTCAACAGTTTATTTACATGTNACATATAAAAATCAGATATAACTGACCAATTCATTTTTCTTACAGATAGTTATGAAATATTAAGTGTGCGAAGTAAACAAAATACGAATTATTACGTACAGTACAGTACTTTAAATCGATACAATATATACATGTTATAACATATGTATATATAATTTTAGTTACTCCGAAAAGAAATAATTAATTTTATTTTAAAATTATTTATACGTATAATGTTTTTTATTTGATTTAAATTACGTAATATGTTTTGCACACAGTACTTTGATACTACCCGTGAGAAAAATGAACTGGTCAGTTATATCTGATTTTCGTATGTTTAAAAATCTGATGACGTCGAAAAGACTTAAGTCTGTTGGTAAGTACGCTTAGAAAAATGTCTCTTTTAATCATCCTTCTAATCATTACCGCTTGCAAATTCACCATTATAACCGGAATTCACATCAAAGCTCATTTTAATCCTTCAAATAACTTAAATTATCCTCGCATTCGAATGGCTGAAACTCTTTCTTCTCTTCAACAATTTACTATATGTTCTTGGTTGAAACCTTACTCGATGAATAATGATATGTTGACTGTAATATCATATGCCACATTGAAAAGTGATAATCAGATAGTTATCACTCTCAATAAATATCATTCTGGTCGATTAATAAGATTTCATATTGGTGATCCTTATATAGAATTTAAGTGTAATTATGATTGGGTGCCGGGTCAGTGGTACTATCTTTGTGCATCCTGGTTTAGTGTTACTGCAACTGCCAAGGTTTATCAAAATGGACAACCTTGTACATTTATGAGATCTCATTTAAATTATTCAAAAACACCATTGCCATCGGGAGGAATATTAGTCATTGGACAAGAACAAGACAATTTCGATTCGAAATATGATGCAAATCAAGCGTGGCATGGTGACATTGCAGATGTTCATATCTGGGACGAAGAATTGAGCCCAAATCAAATTCGTGAAGCAGGACAATGTAAAGGAGGAAGAAAGGAAGGAAATGTCTTTTCTTGGATGAAGAGTAAAATAATTGTTACTGACAATGTCGAATTTTCAGAGACGGAACTTTGTTATTCTTAACCTTATTAATTGGCATTAGCCTATATTAAAATATTTTTACTGTAATTTAAAATAAGATGTGGTATTCTATATTAAAAAGAATTGTATTATTTTAATAAAAATCTAAAAAATGAAAATTGACATACAAATTTGTTGTTTATATAATAAAATGGTTAGTTGTGACTTACAAATCATAATTTTAAGATTATCTAAGAAAATTTTGAAACTAAGAAAATCTAAGAAATATTGAAATGTTTATAATATAAATATTTTATTATACAGTATTTAATTAGCATTAAAGAATGATAATATAAAAGATATTTGATTCGAATGAGCCTATACTCCTATGAAATTTATATTAATTTGTCAAAATAACTGATATGATTGATATTGAAATCTAATTTTTGAAGAAGTTATTTATGATGATTACAAAATCCATCATCAAATTGAATCTTTCTGTTCCATAGTTCACAGTTCAAAAGGCTGGATATAAACAAACTACGTTTATTTAAATAGAATTAGATTATTTTATTTGATGTTCATCTATCTGAATTTTAAACTCGCATCCACTAAATTAAATTTGATAATTCCATCATAGCTGTAATCCAATTTTCAAATTAAACAAATTGTTAAAACAGAATTATTTTCCAAAATCGTATGGAATATATTTTATTCACAGCCGAGATTAAGTTTCTTAAAAATATTATTAAGATATTAAAATATTTTAAAAAATTAAGAAACTAATTTAAAATCTATCAGTTTTTTTAATATTGAATTTTTTATTCATTAATTTTTTCTGTAGTAAAAAGAATCAATAGGAAATAGAATTGCGGAACTTTCCTTATTAACATGTCTTGAATTCAACCGTCTTCAAAGAGCGTGATCCGTTTCTAGGCCATATCGAAAAGTAAAGGTCTCTTGTTCAATCTGGAAAATTCACTCTTTTATATCAATTTGACATAAGCTCATTAGTAGCCAAGTGGATAAAACCTCTGAACACCGATAGTTGGTCGTGGGTTTGCGCCTCGCTAATGGGCTGGCCACATAGGGTTTTTTCGGTTTGGTTTATTTGTATAAGGCAATTTGTCGAAGATTTTAATTAATTAATCCAGTATGGAATACTATGATGCCAAAAGGGAATAATGGATTCAAGCCGAAAAGTTGCAAAGGAACAGATCAGCGCTGGACGCGTGTGTAGTTAAAGATATCTCAAATATCGAAGCTTATATTCCACCTAGAAATAAAAGTTTTATTTGAAAAAATCAAAATTATACTCTTCATATTTTTCTTTAACATATTTTAAATCAACACATAACAGTAAACGATAAGTATATTTTCTATATTTTGCGAATAATTTTCAATTATGAAAAGAAAAATAATACTGTACTAAATATATTTCTAAACAAATTTATCCGTAATACAGGAGTAATGTTTTATTTTTTCAAAAATGAGATATTTTGTAAAAGATTCTTTAAAATAAAAATCTAAATTACGGATTTAATATTTAGATTTGCGTAGATGATAATTTATGATGTAAATTTATTTGTTTGCGTAATATCATAAAAATTGCAGATAACAATTAACTTTTAGGAGGCTCAAGAGAAAGAGAGAGAAGAGGAAATTAGTTATATTCAATAAAATTGTCTATCCCATTTTTTTCCACTCTTTTCGTCCTAAAGACACCAAAAAAGCCTTTTCTTTCCATGCTCATCATCGATTCGGCTAGGCCAATAATGAGGCAGCCGGGTGGCGAGGGACGGGAGTCGACATGTACGGCTAAATAAATGCTAAATAATAAATAATTAAAATATAAATAGAATACATTCGGATCCAAGACCTTGATAAAACTAAAGACAAATTATTCATATGAAGTAACTTGATGCGGTATTTATTCGTATTACTTTTACATTGTTGTTGGAATTTTTAATTAATATGGTTCGTAACTGTGATTTCAGATATATGTAAATAGAGATAGAGAAGGGTTGGTTTGGATTGCATTGGCTAACGGAATGCAACAAGAGATTGATCTGCCAAAGAAGTGACTCCCGGAAGGGCTTTTCATGCGAAAAATTGACTTTTGATTTAGGTATTAGATTTGTGAAAGATTTCAGAAAAGTTCACATGGCCAGTCCGTTGGTGAGGCGCGAACTCCCGGATAACTACCAGTGTTCAGTGGTTTTATCCACTCGGCCACTGGTAGGCGTGGTGGCATGGAGAAAAGCCATCTTAGCACCCACAGGCGGAAAGTTAAAAAGAATTCACCGTATAGTTGTCTTTTTTATTATAATAAGAAAGAATTTGAAAAATTAAATTATAAATGAAATTAAAATATTAAATATTTTCCAAATTTTAAACACTATAATTTAATTTTAAATTAAAATTTTCTTTACCTAGTTAGTCTATTTACATACTACATTTTTAAGAATTTCAATTGAATAACAATTGATTTTCTATTATTAATTTGTTTGTTCACTGAATTGTTACTTAACTTATAGACATCGCTGTTCTGATTATTATACATCTATAGAAATCTTAGACGTTATGAAAAACTACGAATCGGTCTGCGACGCCATTTTAAAAACAGAAGAGAATTCTCGATATATCGATTAATTATGGTAACTCGCAATCCTTACTTTGAAGCTTTGTATAACAGCTCTATCAATTATTCCCAATATATCTTGATAGCAGACATGTTGAGCAAGATTATCGACTTCGCTTATATGCCAAACAATTTTCATCAAATGGTCAATTTTCAGAATGTTTTCTAACTAATTAACTTTGCTGATCAATTTCTTATATGAAGGATAAATACTTTAGGGTAAAGCTTTTGACAATTTACATTAGAGATCGAGAATTCGGAAATCTTGTTCCTTTTTTATCGAGAGGCTAAGGCGACAGGTAAATCTGTGTTCATGAGAGCTGATTGCTTAACAATTGATGGAAATAACTTTACGTTTGACCTATTGAATAACTAGTTGATGAAGTAAGTTTTTTGAAGACGAAGTCCTTCCCAAAAAGAGGAACCGCCATTTATTAACTTTGTGTTCCAGCCATTACACTTTTTAAAAAACTTTTTAAAAACTTAATCATAATTATCGCCATCGGACGAAGATTTACCAAAAAAAAGTTGATGAAGATTGAAACTTTTTTATTACCAGGGAAGTTGACGACTCATCAAATGGAGGAAAACTAAAAACTTTACTTGTTATCTCTTGCTCAGATGATTTTTTTACGTTAACGGTTTTATCTTAGAATAGCCAAGGTTTATTATATACTAATTTTGCTGATACGAGTTTTGTTGATTTTGTCTTTTCATATCGTATTATTGGTATAACTGAATCGTGGATGATATTTTCGATGGAAAACTTCTTTCGACGTTGGATTCTCAATTTTATTTTATTGAATTTCTAGCTCACAAATCTGAGGGACCTGGAAGATCATCTAGTGGTTTGTTAATAGTTTCTCGGAAGCTTGGTAAGTTGGAAATTTGTCATCTCTCTGATAATTTTATTATCGCTAAACATACATTTGATAAACTTTTGTTTAATGATCGTTCTAGGCTTTTAATCGTCTTGGCCTATATTTCTATAGATAAACATGATTCATTGATTGAGCATCTTGATAGATTCATTCTTGATCTTAAGGAAGACGGTGATATTTTGATTTTTGGTGATTCTAATGCCAGAATCGCTTCTGAAATAGATACATTAGATACAGGTCGACCGCCGATGGCTATACGTTTAGCATTGGCCATTTTTAGAAACTGGTTTAAAATTTTAGTTACCAGAATTTGACTTCAGAAAGTTGGTCTATAACAAATTGAAATTAATAACTAATAATTCTTTCGTCATAAACTTTGCCTTCCTTAGTCGAACATTTATTGTCTGATCTAGGTTATTCAATTGCTTATTGTGCTCAATTTATTGATAAAAACTTTTTTAGCTGAACTTTTCCAGTTATTAAAAGATAAATATTGGGCTCAAGATATTCTTTATATAGAGCAAAAGTGTAATTTTTTTGAAATTTCTCTATCTTTCCCATGGACACCTCGGTATTATCTGTTATCAAATTTAAACTATAAGATTAAATCTTTAATAATGCAATTACGACTGAAATAAATATACTATTTTATTAAATGGTCACAGAATTAATATATCAGCTTACTCCAATTGTCCTCTAATAGATTTTTTGAAAATGTTAGTAATCATTTGTTTGTATCTTGTGAATTTACTGAACACTTAAAGTATACTTTTGACAACTGACTTTAATATGATTTGTCTATACGATTATAATTTAAGTTCTGTAATGTTATATAAAATTTATAAATTTTTTTGTTATTCATTAAACATGTTAACATAGTCCTACTAATTGAACTTATATTTATTATCTAATTACAATTATGTATAACAACGTTTGTATTTTAATAATGTTGCTACGAGTTCTGCAACCCCTTTGTATAAGCGGAAGACAAAATAAATAAATGTTTGATTGATTGATTGACATTAATAAAAAATGTATATATACACTGTATTTTTTTATTGCAGAAAATATTTTCTTGGTTCATGCGATTTTCAAGAATCAGAATTCAGTCAACATGGTTTACAATCTCTTGATTTTTCTCAGGTTAGAAGTTCTCAAGAACTATTTTCCGATCATTTCTCACAGTCGGAAAAAGAGGTAATATGATAGGATTTTATATAATGGCTAATAATTTCCTATTTCCTATACATATACTATATATATATTTTCAGGAACCGTCCCAAATTACTACATCCATAAATTCAACAAGAAAAGCATCATTGATAGAAGACTTTGGAAAAAATACAGATGAAATGTTAAACGTTTCAAAATTATTAATGGATGCTAAGGAAAAAGATGAAAAGTGATCAATTATAATTTATAATAAGTATCTAATTTCCATAATTATTAGAAGTGTTTACTACCAAGAAAAGAGCTAAAATTTGGTGATATAATATACTTTTCATATCATATTTTTATAATTTTTGCAAAGTTGTCGCTATTATTTTTCTATTTGCATTTTTAATTAAAATATCAGCTGATTACTAATTATTTATTAGTGATTAGATAATTAGCCTTTATGATACGAAATATTTCTTAAGTAAACGCAGCCAAACTTTGTATTATGATATATTATATCATAAAATATTTACAATATAATCACAAGAATATTAAATTAAAAAAATACATATTTTGAAATTAAAATAACAAATTTATTATTTTCAAAGTAAAATTTCAAATACAGTATGTCGAATTTCCGCTTCTCATTTATTTAAATTTATTTGTGCTTTTTTTCATTTACCGTCATGACTTGTTTTGGAATTCAAAATTCAATTAAAATTTCAGAAACAAAACTTTCAGCTATTAAAATATTTTTTTCATATATTTATTAAATAAATTTGTTTTTTAATTGTTTTCGATGAGATGACCATAGTGATCGGGCTTCAGATTGTTGTTGTGAATCAATCCGTTCTTAGACTACGTAGTTTTTCGAGAATATATGACGATCTTTGGATCATAACTGAGAAAAGGGAATTAAGCATGGAGGTCTCCATTTCTCTAGCTTCTCCAATAGCTGTAGAAGTATATATTGTTAATTTATTCGTAACCTTTTAAATTCAGGATTCTATTTTCTTTGTATCTTTCAAGAGATATAACCATTTGCTTTTACAGACATCATCTCATTAATGTCAAACGAATTTCTCTATTTAGCAATAAATGTTTTTTCTTGTAGATTTAAATATACAGTATTTTTAGACAGTGTTACTATCAATTTTTTGAGCACTCTAGTTATTTGGAGACAGCTAACTCAGTGGTTCTCAAATATTAGAAGAAATACTTCCTTTTGTAAAAATATTCTTGCATCCCTACATTTTCGTAAAATCATAATAACCCATAATTGTATCTTAGGATTACTTTATTCTAATAAAACAAAGATTTTCGAACTGATTTTTGATAAATGTCTCGAGTAAAAGAAAGTCAAAACAATACGGAGATATTTACTGCTAAATGAAATCAAATTTTGATATTGTGATGACTACATTATGGTCAAAACCATAACGATAGCTTACAATGTAATAATGTTAATACAATAAATATATAAATTGCGAATGTTTTTAATGTTATATTATACTGTAACTAATAGACGGAATATCGAGTGCGTGAAAAAAAAATTGTACTTGAAAATAAATAATAATAATAATGATTTCTTCGCGTCTTCCAAAGAGGCGCGCTCAGTTTGAGATTTACTGAATTAACCAAGTATTAGTAATTAGATTCATAAAATCGGTTTTCTGACCCGAGTTTCTGTAACGAGTCCTAGTTTCAGAAATTAAATTTGCTATTATTGAGATTTAATTGTTCTAATTTGAGATATTCGTACAAACTTGAATTCATTCAAATTGTCACGTTTACTAATGATATAAATTTATTTCATCTCAGAAAAATTTGTTTAAGTATAGGCTAATACTATGTATTAGCAGAATAATATACTGATAAAAAAGAATGAACCGATACTGCTTTCCTAAATTATTACTAAGAACCATATTTTGTTCTTATTTTCATATTTTTACCTGATATTTCAACAGTTCAAGTTAGAAAATCTTTCTAATGTGAACTGAAAAAGTTGTTTCTGTGTATTAATAAAAATAACGATATCAATCAATATTTTCCTGATAACACTTATAGCTGAATAATATTGAAACGAATATTTTGTATGCAAAACTGTATTTCATTTTTTTTCCTTTCCAAAAAAAAACATACATACATCATACACAGTATATATATGAGCATTAAGAGGAATTTTTAAATCATACTCATTGTTGCATATAATTATTATCATATATGTATATTACAATTATGTATTCTATTATTCTATTTAATATAGTTGTGTCAGGCTTATATTGTTCAAGTTATTAGAGGGGGGAAAAATGTAATTCTAGATAAAACCAGAAGAAAATTGTATATATTATCGTTTTATTTTTTAAAATCAATATATAATCAATATTCCCAAGAATAATGAAACATATTTCTCTAAATATTAAAATATAGGAAATCTTGATTTTTTAGAATATTTATAATTAAAATAAATGGCTTATGCTGAACATATATTTATCATTAACTTATTGACTTTGTTTCATGTTTAGGGTATTCTTAGAAAAAATTTCTCATGATATAAAAGAACATTCTTTGAAATTATCAACTCTCTCTGAAATTATGCAAAAAATGGTCGATGAAAACAGAAATAATAAACAAAAAATCTCTGAATTTATGGAAGGAAGTAAATACTTAAAATCATTATTAATTTAACAATAATCTCTATTTATAATTAACTTATATGTCTGCTTCTAGTAAACAAATATTTAGAAAAGACCGAACACGAAATTTTGTTGACATCACAAAACTTAAAAGAAATAATCAAGATTCAGGTGAGAAAATTAAAATTATTTTAAAATATTCTATATAAAATAAATTTACATTTTGATTGTGTATGACACATTTGACCTTACAATTTTTAGACATTAGATGTAATTGAATCTTTTAAATCTCTTGAAACGAAATTTAATTATTTTCTATGCATTTAAATTCTTCCTTAATTTAATATCAATATATTCAGGAATTATATATACTAAAACGAAAATAGATAATCTTTAGTGTTTAGTTAAATTATCGGTATATGATTGGTTCTTAAGATGTTATGGAAGAGAGTTAAAATAAACACGTACTGATAAAACAATTGAAATGACAATCTATGGTAGTTATAACACACCAATATACATACAAGGCAATTTATTAGGCATGTAGATGTTACTGTGAAAGACCGAAATTAGAGAATGTCGATATTCTCCGGTAAATGTCGATACATACAAAATACGTATTTTGTATGTGTCGACAATTATGTTATATTATTATACATTCGAACAATCGTCGGTGTATGTCGACAAGCACAGATAAGCTTTGGTGGAGGGCGAAGAAATTGTTAATACTTTTGAAAAAAATTTGAGCAGTGGCCATAACGAATACCATATTCCAAAGGAAAATATTTAACAGGAGCTGCAACCCACCACGTCTTCATATCAAGCCCTGACTGAACAACACGAAGTTATTTCTATAAAAAGAGCGGCCGCGAAAGAGAATCTTCTACTGCGAGCAACGAAAATGTTACGAACCTCAAAAAGAAAATTTCTTTCTGCTCAAATTGGTGATACCGTACGAATACAAGTCCCTGATGTCGACCGTGGCCGTACAGATGCCCGAAATGTTGGTGGTTGTTGTTGGAATAGAAGACTTCGACTTTTATAAATTAGCAAGCAAAAATGGTACCCTCAAGTAGCTTTATTCCCGTAATCAGTTCGTAATTTGTAAAGAAAAGTTACTTTACATTGCATAGATGAAATTTCTTCTCAAGAAATATCACTGAGAGAAGCAGCTGCAGCTAATTCGAAAAGTGGAAGGCAAGGCTGTACACGCTGTCATTGCAAAAAGAAGTGTTCCACGAATAAATGCAATTGTAAAAGCAAGGGACTCTTGTGCAATTTAAAGTGCCACAACAGTTTAAGCTGTTGCAATAAATAAGATTGTATAACCTTAATCACATAATTTATGTGTAAGTTTATTATTTATTATTTTCTTTAATGATTTAGAATGTACTGTTTGTTTTAGGTTCAACAGTTTATTTACATGTGCTGTTACTTAAGCTTTCTCCTATTTTGACATATTAAACAGTTGCATTTTTGTCCTAACGTAATAAAAATATTTTTATTTAACATTCACCATCAGTGCATGCTGAATGTCGACATTTGCCGGCGTAAGTGAGAAATAATATTTAGCAAATATTTCGTGCATACACGAAACCACTGTGTGAATGCTGATATTCATCGGAGAATGCTGACATTCGCCAGATATCGGTCATTCACAGTAACATAGATATCAAAACTTTATGTATGATTTTCTTTCACAAATGTTGAGATTAAAAGAAATTTATTATTATACTTCCCCTCTTTTGCTAATCGTAATCCAGTCAAAAGTTCTTTTCAGATAGATTTTCAACGTTGCCTTTTTAAAATTTTTGTAAACCATTGATTTTATCTACTAACGTGCTTAATGATGTTTCCATCCATTTAAATTTACTTCTTTTTTTAAAAATTACTTTTGCAAGATAATATATTAACGGATATAATTAACAATTATTTGAATTAACTTTTCTAAAATACTCATTTTTCTGTCTTTAGTAGAATCATATTATCTTCAAATTGCAGATTTCTTGTCAGTATATTGTAAAAATAGAAATTTATACTGATTGAAAAATCAGTATAAATTTTCAGGTAGCCAAATATACGTTTTTGGCCTTTTATAAGTCAGCGTCAAAACGATATTGTGTATGATAAATTTTTATAAGTTTTTGTTTATTTAAAAATCTGAGCGATAACTTAAATAAATTATTTTTAAAGAAATTAACATTATTTTATTTTTTGCAGAAACACATTTTGGATGAAATAAAAGAAACGAAACAGAATGACTTTAAAAAGTTAGAAAATTCAATCTCTTCGTATCAACAGGAATATGAAAAACAGCTGTCAACCATAAATGAACAGCAGAACCAATTATCTTGGTAACAAAGTATAAAAAGTATTTCAGTAAATCTGTTTTATTTAAACATGGTTTATTTTTTTAGTTCGTTAAAAGAAAATCTTAATGTTTTTGCCAAAGATTGGTCATCGTGGAAAAAAAATATAGAAAATACACTTAAATTAACAATAAAGGAGTCAATGAAAAAACTTCAAGAAACAATTAAAAAGGTAAAAACATTGTTAAGAAATAATTAACCAATGTTACAATTATCGTAAAATTTACATTCACGATTATAATATAAATATACAGTCAACACACCTTAATACTGAGAACGCACATTTATTCAGCTAAACAAACGTTTTCAACCCATTTCATGGGCCATCATCAGGTTAAAGACGTTACGTAATTTAATTTCAACATATGTTCTAATATAATTTAAATTTGAACGTGTTCGATAATGGCTTGGATTCGAACGTCTTTAACCTGATGATGGTCCATGAAATGGGTTGAAAACGTTTGTTTAGCTGAATAAATGTGCGTTCTCAGTATTAAGGTGTGTTGACTGCATATTGTTGAAGAATCTGAGCGAGAATAGGAGATTATAATATAAATGCTTTATATCAATATAAAATATTCAGTTTTATTTGAATCATTATTTAAAAGTAATATTCCTTTCTTTTGATAAAAATCAGTTTATCAAGTCGTAAATTCTCCATGTTCTGCAAAAATATCAATAATCCCAATTACAAAAAATGTTTTACTCATGGTTTTATTTACATAATTGTAAAAATATTCTACTGGTCATTTTTTTTAATTTTCATTACATAGTTTTTCTAAGTGTAAGTAAAAGTAGTAAGCAGGATATCGTCATTTAAAACAGTGTTTCTTAACAGGGGGCAACGGCCCCCTGGGGGTCCATAAGTTTGCCGGGGACCGCGAAATTATGCAAAATTTCCTTCAGAATATAATAAAAAGAAAATTGATGTATAACCGAATATCGTATTGAAAAGTGAAATAAGAAAGATAAAGTTTTCGTATTTAGTTNAAATATTGGGCTCAAGATATTCTTTATATAGAGCAAAAGTGTAATTTTTTTGAAATTTCTCTATCTTTCCCATGGACACCTCGGTATTATCTGTTATCAAATTTAAACTATAAGATTAAATCTTTAATAATGCAATTACGACTGAAATAAATATACTATTGTATTAAATGGTCACAGAATTAATATATCAGCTTACTCCAATTGTCCTCTAATAGATTTTTTGAAAATGTTAGTAATCATTTGTTTGTATCTTGTGAATTTACTGAACACTTAAAGTATACTTTTGACAACTGACTTTAATATGATTTGTCTATACGATTATAATTTAAGTTCTGTAATGTTATATAAAATTTATAAATTTTTTTGTTATTCATTAAACATGTTAACATAGTCCTACTAATTGAACTTATATTTATTATCTAATTACAATTATGTATAACAACGTTTGTATTTTAATAATGTTGCTACGAGTTCTGCAACCCCTTTGTATAAGCGGAAGACAAAATAAATAAATGTTTGATTGATTGATTGACATTAATAAAAAATGTATATATACACTGTATTTTTTTATTGCAGAAAATATTTTCTTGGTTCATGCGATTTTCAAGAATCAGAATTCAGTCAACATGGTTTACAATCTCTTGATTTTTCTCAGGTTAGAAGTTCTCAAGAACTATTTTCCGATCATTTCTCACAGTCGGAAAAAGAGGTAATATGATAGGATTTTATATAATGGCTAATAATTTCCTATTTCCTATACATATACTATATATATATTTTCAGGAACCGTCCCAAATTACTACATCCATAAATTCAACAAGAAAAGCATCATTGATAGAAGACTTTGGAAAAAATACAGATGAAATGTTAAACGTTTCAAAATTATTAATGGATGCTAAGGAAAAAGATGAAAAGTGATCAATTATAATTTATAATAAGTATCTAATTTCCATAATTATTAGAAGTGTTTACTACCAAGAAAAGAGCTAAAATTTGGTGATATAATATACTTTTCATATCATATTTTTATAATTTTTGCAAAGTTGTCGCTATTATTTTTCTATTTGCATTTTTAATTAAAATATCAGCTGATTACTAATTATTTATTAGTGATTAGATAATTAGCCTTTATGATACGAAATATTTCTTAAGTAAACGCAGCCAAACTTTGTATTATGATATATTATATCATAAAATATTTACAATATAATCACAAGAATATTAAATTAAAAAAATACATATTTTGAAATTAAAATAACAAATTTATTATTTTCAAAGTAAAATTTCAAATACAGTATGTCGAATTTCCGCTTCTCATTTATTTAAATTTATTTGTGCTTTTTTTCATTTACCGTCATGACTTGTTTTGGAATTCAAAATTCAATTAAAATTTCAGAAACAAAACTTTCAGCTATTAAAATATTTTTTTCATATATTTATTAAATAAATTTGTTTTTTAATTGTTTTCGATGAGATGACCATAGTGATCGGGCTTCAGATTGTTGTTGTGAATCAATCCGTTCTTAGACTACGTAGTTTTTCGAGAATATATGACGATCTTTGGATCATAACTGAGAAAAGGGAATTAAGCATGGAGGTCTCCATTTCTCTAGCTTCTCCAATAGCTGTAGAAGTATATATTGTTAATTTATTCGTAACCTTTTAAATTCAGGATTCTATTTTCTTTGTATCTTTCAAGAGATATAACCATTTGCTTTTACAGACATCATCTCATTAATGTCAAACGAATTTCTCTATTTAGCAATAAATGTTTTTTCTTGTAGATTTAAATATACAGTATTTTTAGACAGTGTTACTATCAATTTTTTGAGCACTCTAGTTATTTGGAGACAGCTAACTCAGTGGTTCTCAAATATTAGAAGAAATACTTCCTTTTGTAAAAATATTCTTGCATCCCTACATTTTCGTAAAATCATAATAACCCATAATTGTATCTTAGGATTACTTTATTCTAATAAAACAAAGATTTTCGAACTGATTTTTGATAAATGTCTCGAGTAAAAGAAAGTCAAAACAATACGGAGATATTTACTGCTAAATGAAATCAAATTTTGATATTGTGATGACTACATTATGGTCAAAACCATAACGATAGCTTACAATGTAATAATGTTAATACAATAAATATATAAATTGCGAATGTTTTTAATGTTATATTATACTGTAACTAATAGACGGAATATCGAGTGCGTGAAAAAAAAATTGTACTTGAAAATAAATAATAATAATAATGATTTCTTCGCGTCTTCCAAAGAGGCGCGCTCAGTTTGAGATTTACTGAATTAACCAAGTATTAGTAATTAGATTCATAAAATCGGTTTTCTGACCCGAGTTTCTGTAACGAGTCCTAGTTTCAGAAATTAAATTTGCTATTATTGAGATTTAATTGTTCTAATTTGAGATATTCGTACAAACTTGAATTCATTCAAATTGTCACGTTTACTAATGATATAAATTTATTTCATCTCAGAAAAATTTGTTTAAGTATAGGCTAATACTATGTATTAGCAGAATAATATACTGATAAAAAAGAATGAACCGATACTGCTTTCCTAAATTATTACTAAGAACCATATTTTGTTCTTATTTTCATATTTTTACCTGATATTTCAACAGTTCAAGTTAGAAAATCTTTCTAATGTGAACTGAAAAAGTTGTTTCTGTGTATTAATAAAAATAACGATATCAATCAATATTTTCCTGATAACACTTATAGCTGAATAATATTGAAACGAATATTTTGTATGCAAAACTGTATTTCATTTTTTTTCCTTTCCAAAAAAAATCCTACATACATACATCATACACAGTATATATATGAGCATTAAGAGGAATTTTTAAATCATACTCATTGTTGCATATAATTATTATCATATATGTATATTACAATTATGTATTCTATTATTCTATTTAATATAGTTGTGTCAGGCTTATATTGTTCAAGTTATTAGAGGGGGGAAAAATGTAATTCTAGATAAAACCAGAAGAAAATTGTATATATTATCGTTTTATTTTTTAAAATCAATATATAATCAATATTCCCAAGAATAATGAAACATATTTCTCTAAATATTAAAATATAGGAAATCTTGATTTTTTAGAATATTTATAATTAAAATAAATGGCTTATGCTGAACATATATTTATCATTAACTTATTGACTTTGTTTCATGTTTAGGGTATTCTTAGAAAAAATTTCTCATGATATAAAAGAACATTCTTTGAAATTATCAACTCTCTCTGAAATTATGCAAAAAATGGTCGATGAAAACAGAAATAATAAACAAAAAATCTCTGAATTTATGGAAGGAAGTAAATACTTAAAATCATTATTAATTTAACAATAATCTCTATTTATAATTAACTTATATGTCTGCTTCTAGTAAACAAATATTTAGAAAAGACCGAACACGAAATTTTGTTGACATCACAAAACTTAAAAGAAATAATCAAGATTCAGGTGAGAAAATTAAAATTATTTTAAAATATTCTATATAAAATAAATTTACATTTTGATTGTGTATGACACATTTGACCTTACAATTTTTAGACATTAGATGTAATTGAATCTTTTAAATCTCTTGAAACGAAATTTAATTATTTTCTATGCATTTAAATTCTTCCTTAATTTAATATCAATATATTCAGGAATTATATATACTAAAACGAAAATAGATAATCTTTAGTGTTTAGTTAAATTATCGGTATATGATTGGTTCTTAAGATGTTATGGAAGAGAGTTAAAATAAACACGTACTGATAAAACAATTGAAATGACAATCTATGGTAGTTATAACACACCAATATACATACAAGGCAATTTATTAGGCATGTAGATGTTACTGTGAAAGACCGAAATTAGAGAATGTCGATATTCTCCGGTAAATGTCGATACATACAAAATACGTATTTTGTATGTGTCGACAATTATGTTATATTATTATACATTCGAACAATCGTCGGTGTATGTCGACAAGCACAGATAAGCTTTGGTGGAGGGCGAAGAAATTGTTAATACTTTTGAAAAAAATTTGAGCAGTGGCCATAACGAATACCATATTCCAAAGGAAAATATTTAACAGGAGCTGCAACCCACCACGTCTTCATATCAAGCCCTGACTGAACAACACGAAGTTATTTCTATAAAAAGAGCGGCCGCGAAAGAGAATCTTCTACTGCGAGCAACGAAAATGTTACGAACCTCAAAAAGAAAATTTCTTTCTGCTCAAATTGGTGATACCGTACGAATACAAGTCCCTGATGTCGACCGTGGCCGTACAGATGACCGAAATGTTGGTGGTTGTTGTTGGAATAGAAGACTTCGACTTTTATAAATTAGCAAGCAAAAATGGTACCCTCAAGTAGCTTTATTCCCGTAATCAGTTCGTAATTTGTAAAGAAAAGTTACNAAAAAAAAAAAAAAAAAAAAAAAAAAAAAAAAAAAAAAAAAAAAAAAAAAAAAAAAAAAAAAAAAAAAAAAAAAAAAAAAAAAAAAAAAAAAAAAAAAAAAAAAAAAAAAAAAAAAAAAAAAAAAAAAAAAAAAAAAAAAAAAAAAAAAAAAAAAAAAAAAAAAAAAAAAAAAAAAAAAAAAAAAAAAAAAAAAAAAAAAAAAAAAAAAAAAAAAAAAAAAAAAAAAAAAAAAAAAAAAAAAAAAAAAAAAAAAAAAAAAAAAAAAAAAAAAAAAAAAAAAAAAAAAAAAAAAAAAAAAAAAAAAAAAAAAAAAAAAAAAAAAAAAAAAAAAAAAAAAAAAAAAAAAAAAAAAAAAAAAAAAAAAAAAAAAAAAAAAAAAAAAAAAAAAAAAAAAAAAAAAAAAAAAAAAAAAAAAAAAAAAAAAAAAAAAAAAAAAAAAAAAAAAAAAAAAAAAAAAAAAAAAAAAAAAAAAAAAAAAAAAAAAAAAAAAAAAAAAAAAAAAAAAAAAAAAAAAAAAAAAAAAAAAAAAAAAAAAAAAAAAAAAAAAAAAAAAAAAAAAAAAAAAAAAAAAAAAAAAAAAAAAAAAAAAAAAAAAAAAAAAAAAAAAAAAAAAAAAAAAAAAAAAAAAAAAAAAAAAAAAAAAAAAAAAAAAAAAAAAAAAAAAAAAAAAAAAAAAAAAAAAAAAAAAAAAAAAAAAAAAAAAAAAAAAAAAAAAAAAAAAAAAAAAAAAAAAAAAAAAAAAAAAAAAAAAAAAAAAAAAAAAAAAAAAAAAAAAAAAAAAAAAAAAAAAAAAAAAAAAAAAAAAAAAAAAAAAAAAAAAAAAAAAAAAAAAAAAAAAAAAAAAAAAAAAAAAAAAAAAAAAAAAAAAAAAAAAAAAAAAAAAAAAAAAAAAAAAAAAAAAAAAAAAAAAAAAAAAAAAAAAAAAAAAAAAAAAAAAAAAAAAAAAAAAAAAAAAAAAAAAAAAAAAAAAAAAAAAAAAAAAAAAAAAAAAAAAAAAAAAAAAAAAAAAAAAAAAAAAAAAAAAAAAAAAAAAAAAAAAAAAAAAAAAAAAAAAAAAAAAAAAAAAAAAAAAAAAAAAAAAAAAAAAAAAAAAAAAAAAAAAAAAAAAAAAAAAAAAAAAAAAAAAAAAAAAAAAAAAAAAAAAAAAAAAAAAAAAAAAAAAAAAAAAAAAAAAAAAAAAAAAAAAAAAAAAAAAAAAAAAAAAAAAAAAAAAAAAAAAAAAAAAAAAAAAAAAAAAAAAAAAAAAAAAAAAAAAAAAAAAAAAAAAAAAAAAAAAAAAAAAAAAAAAAAAAAAAAAAAAAAAAAAAAAAAAAAAAAAAAAAAAAAAAAAAAAAAAAAAAAAAAAAAAAAAAAAAAAAAAAAAAAAAAAAAAAAAAAAAAAAAAAAAAAAAAAAAAAAAAAAAAAAAAAAAAAAAAAAAAAAAAAAAAAAAAAAAAAAAAAAAAAAAAAAAAAAAAAAAAAAAAAAAAAAAAAAAAAAAAAAAAAAAAAAAAAAAAAAAAAAAAAAAAAAAAAAAAAAAAAAAAAAAAAAAAAAAAAAAAAAAAAAAAAAAAAAAAAAAAAAAAAAAAAAAAAAAAAAAAAAAAAAAAAAAAAAAAAAAAAAAAAAAAAAAAAAAAAAAAAAAAAAAAAAAAAAAAAAAAAAAAAAAAAAAAAAAAAAAAAAAAAAAAAAAAAAAAAAAAAAAAAAAAAAAAAAAAAAAAAAAAAAAAAAAAAAAAAAAAAAAAAAAAAAAAAAAAAAAAAAAAAAAAAAAAAAAAAAAAAAAAAAAAAAAAAAAAAAAAAAAAAAAAAAAAAAAAAAAAAAAAAAAAAAAAAAAAAAAAAAAAAAAAAAAAAAAAAAAAAAAAAAAAAAAAAAAAAAAAAAAAAAAAAAAAAAAAAAAAAAAAAAAAAAAAAAAAAAAAAAAAAAAAAAAAAAAAAAAAAAAAAAAAAAAAAAAAAAAAAAAAAAAAAAAAAAAAAAAAAAAAAAAAAAAAAAAAAAAAAAAAAAAAAAAAAAAAAAAAAAAAAAAAAAAAAAAAAAAAAAAAAAAAAAAAAAAAAAAAAAAAAAAAAAAAAAAAAAAAAAAAAAAAAAAAAAAAAAAAAAAAAAAAAAAAAAAAAAAAAAAAAAAAAAAAAAAAAAAAAAAAAAAAAAAAAAAAAAAAAAAAAAAAAAAAAAAAAAAAAAAAAAAAAAAAAAAAAAAAAAAAAAAAAAAAAAAAAAAAAAAAAAAAAAAAAAAAAAAAAAAACGCAATCCATTGCGATTAGATGCCTGCATGCGAATAGCATTACAAACAATTGAACCAAGAGTTAACAAATTAGTTGAGGATATTCAGCAGCAGAAATCTCATTAAATTATTTTCGAATATTTTTTGCTTTTTCTATGAATTTTTAAATGTTTCTTATTTTATTTTTTGTTAAAAGTTAATGAGTTTTTGTTTAATTGTGAAGTTTGAATGTTATTTAAATAGATAATGAATTAATAAAGTTATGTTTTACATTTATTATATAAAAAAACAAAGCAAGAATAAAAAAATCAATTTATTATAGATAATTTAACAAATATAATTATTAAAAAATGGGGGTCACAAAAAATTATGAAATATTTGGTGGGCCGCGAGTATAAAAAGGTTAAGAACCATTGATTTAAAAGACTGTAAACATTTAATTGGAAACATGGAAAAATTAGAGAAAATTAACTCTTGCACTAGTGAAGAAATGCTTTACCTTACTGAAGGTTATAATTGCTGGACATCTGGTTTTGAGATTCTGCTAGATTTTTTCACATTTAGTTTCTAGATGTGAGAAATGTCAGATACAAATATAGCTGCTTTCATTTCAATGTTTTCATAAAGATGGGCATTCATTTTGTAACTTAACAGATTTCGGTGAATAATTTTGTTTTCAAATGAAAAAGTACGATAAACTAAGCTTCTGTGGCTAACAAGATAAACAGACAATCAATTGCACGAGTGCAATTGTACGAATTAAATACGTATTACTGGATCTTCGAAGATTCAGTAATACGTAATTAATTCAAACATAAAATGTTTCTATATAAAAAAAAGTCTTGCAATAAATTCGATCATTGCTGCTGAGATACTAACTTATTCGCTTTATTATTCATGTGAGGAATTTCTTCGCATAGTTCTTTCAAAATATATTTTTTGTTTTTTTACTTCATGTAGATGAATATTTCAATGATAAAAGTAATTTATATTATTTTACATTAACACCATTAGATTTAAATTGAAAATAAAGAAATCTCCTTTTGAATCTGAAAAATATAGCGAATGTGTGTTATTCTTAAAGTGAAGTCCAATTCCAATTCTTTTTATACATTTTTAAAAAATTTATTAATTTCATACAGACCTATTTTTTAAAACATGATCAAAACTTGCATGTACAGATGTATTAAATTCATTATTTAATTTTTTTAGGAATGTAAAAATAACGTTTATGAAACGAAGAATCAGAATCCTTTACGGAACACAAAAACTAAAAAATCGAAAAGATTTTCGAAAAGAATTCAAAAGAAAAATAAGAAAAAATCAACAGTTAATTTAGAGCAAAACACTGTTTATGGTAAAACTGGACAATGTAAAACTGGAGAAACAAAATCAATTATAAGATGCATAAAAAGAAATGGATTTCAAAATTCACGAAACATTGGAAGATATTGCCAACAGTCAATAATTTCAGATTGCAAACGTTGTTCAAAAAAATCATCTTTTTTACAAACACCTAACTGTTTTAACTGTAGCTCCAAGAAGCTATTCAAAAACAATATAACAGACGTGTCGGTTGATCGTGTGACACAAAGAAACAATTCTAGTAAAACAAGCACATCAGCAGAAAGGAATTTCCAACAAAAAAACAATTTCGAATCTTTGGAAATAAGCAATCCGAACAGTCCTGCTTTGCCATTCTCTTCTCTTGTCAAACTATTGAAGGTAACATCTTCAAAAACAGAATTAGGAAGAAACTGTTCTTACGTTAAGAGTAAGTTTTTTACAAATAAAAATTATAGATTTTTATTTTATATAATATAATTGTTTTTACTACGTAGATAATATTTTACATTATTCAAATGTAAGAAACCGAGAAAATATATCCGTAAGTATATTATTACAAAAACTGTTGATTTTACATAAATACTATTTTCATTTATTAGAATTACAGTAAATATTTACTTTCTAGGAAGAAATATGGATATAAATTGAAGTAATTTATCACATGTTCTACTTTATATATATTTGAGCCTTTGTTAATTTTCCAACTTATTTTGTTTCAAAATATTAAAATAATTCACAAGACCGTTAATAAAGAATATTTAAATATTTATTGGAACTTTTTTGTTAGAATTCACAAATTAAACAATGAATAAAAAGTAAACTACAATGACAAATACAAATGTGATGAACTTTGGAAATCTAAAAGAATGTGAATACATAATATTGACTGGAACAATGATATGGAAAATGAACTACACTTTTAACATGTACTGATGTTTGAAGACAACTCATCTGTATGAAAATACTGCAGACGAACTAGATTCCCGATTTATGTAGCAAAATTATGATGTCAATAGTCCAAATGTGGATTTTTTTTAAAATATTGTTATTTACATAATGTAATTATTTTCGATTGCTGAAAGGGAGAACCACTCGGCAAACAAAATTTTCCTAACAACTTTACATTTTTTCCCCAGCAATTTGGATGGGATGCAGTCGAATCCCCATAATGCATTTATATGTTAAAATATGTTTTTGTAACATTTAAACATTTCCAATTACAACTCTTACAAACTTGTTCTTTCCATTATTACATATCAATAACCAAAAATTAACATGGATATCGAACAGTGTTTTTTTTCTTTTCTTTTTTGTGTGACAATAAAGTATCACTATTTAACCATGCCACTGTTTAATTTTAGTCGATAACATTTTAATCTCAAAACATCCAAACATAATGGCTTTTCTTGAACCTATTTTTATATTAAAAATTCATTCATTCTTGATATTCAGTCAGATCCAAAGTTATCACCCTGCTGATTGTACACTCTCCTGGCTAAAATAAAAAATAAACATTAATAAAATGGCAAAACATATCAAAACTAAATAACAAGACATTTTTTTCCTAATAGTTTTTCATAATTTACTTTAAATAAGCTTTGCAAACAAGTAAATATATATCACATAATCATCATAAAATTTTTTAATTTTTATTTTTGGAATATTTCATTTTTCTTACCTGTGAAAAAATAATGAGACTGATGATGATGATATTTCTGAAATAATGGTTACTTCTTCCAATACAAACAACAAATATGATTACATTAAAATCTTGTCTAAAAAAGCAACGAGTTAGTCAGCAGACTGATTTTTGTAGTTCAGAAATATCATCAATCACTTTTCTTTCTTAATGTTTATATTAAGAATATTAAAAGAATAATTAAACCATATTTTCATTTCATTCAAACTGATGTGCCAAAAACTTAGACACAAGTGGCACAAGCAATGTTACCTTCTACCCAGAATATTTTGCATGTGATGTCATAGGTACAATACTTATCAGTTGTGTGAGTACTTGATTAGAGTAGCAATGGGCATGTAAAGAATTTATCACCATTTTATTGTGGACAGATTGTTGAAGCAAGAATAATGGGTTACATTATTGGCAAGGTGGCCAATGCCCTTGGATTTTCTTGTGCAACAGTTTCAAGAGTTTACTGGGAATACTAATATCCTGGACAGACGTCAGCAGTACTTGCAGTGTGAACACCCAGTGTTAATAGAAGAACTTGACTGCTGGCAGCTAACCAGGTTAGTAACCGCACAAGGAAGGACAACTGTGCACCAAATCACATCAGACTTCAACACACTGGGGTTTGTTGAATCATCAGTTAACACACTGTACAACATACACTTCATTTGTTGGGGTTTGGTAGTCATCAATCCGCTTGGGTACCACTACTAACACCCAGGCATCAGGCAATGTGCTTCACCTGGTCCAGAAAATATTGAAATTGGACAATGGATGACTAGTGCTGTGTTGTGTGGTCAGATGAATCTAGTTTCAGCTCTTTCAAGCTGATGGTCATGTTCATGTGTGGCAACAACCACATGAAACCATGGATCCATCTTGCTGACAAGGTGTTGTGCAAGCTGGTGGTGGCTCTGTCCTGGCTTGGAGTGTATTCTGTTGGTGTGAACAAGGACCACTGATGAGACTGCAGTCAACTTTGACAGATGCAATGTACACTAATCTCATGGCAGATGTTTTGCACTCCTTTATGCTTGCCATGTTCCCTGATGGCAATGGTTTGTACCAACAGCAGATAATGATATTCCCCACAAGTGTGGTTCAAGGAAAACTTCAGTCATCAGACTTGATTCCCATAGGGCAATTATGGGACACTATGCAAACATCAATGCCTTGCAGAACTATCCAACAAATGCAACTGAATGTGTCTGGATTGAAATATCTGTGACTAAGGCATCTCATAGTCTATGCCATGTCATGTAGTTGCTTTTATTTGGGCTCGGAGGAGCTACATGTTAGTATTTTAAAGACACTTATCTAATAACACAATAATAAATTAAAGGAAAAATTAAAATGAACATTTTGCTTTTAAAAAACAGCACAAAATACATAATTGATTAAATCAATCTTGAATGTTGATTGAAATACATTTTACACACCTCAAAAGTGAAATTGCAACACCAAGAACGAATGCATGTAGCCACATACACATTGCAGGACCGGTACAGGTGACAGGAAATGCAAATGATTAAAAGAAAAAACAAAGATATGCAACAGACACTTGTTTATTCAGTAACAAATATGGTTGCTATATGGCAAGGCATAATATCGATGAGGCATCCACTTACCAAGCTGCATCCACTGTGGCACATGTCTATGGTATGTAGTGGTGGTCACCAGTGTCCCTCACATTGGATGAGGGCCCATGGATGTCAGATAAGGAGAGTTCTGGCAAGACTTCCAACCAGGGAATGATATGAATTCTTTCAGGTTGATGAGAGTTCACCACGTGACATGCAGTTGGACATTATCTTGCTGAAACAGTGTTGGCTGCAGCCTGCACCATGAGCCCCACAATATGACATACAGGTCTGATGTCAGAGTACCAGAAATGTGCAACAGGGCTATCCACTGATTGAACATGATGCCTGGTTCATGGAATGATGCCAGGAAATGCTAAATGCTAACCTTTTTGCCAAGCATCAGAATTACCACAGCATTTCCTGGGATACCACAACACTTGTCCATGGACATCATTCCTCCACAGACAGAAGTGGGACTTATCTGTAAACATACCCAATGCCATTCAGCAGTCCAGTTGCAATGACAATGACACCATGTCAGGTGTGCATCCCTGTGTTGAGTGGTTAATGGTACCCCAATTGCTGGTTGCTGTGCTTATGTAGCCTGATGCAAATGGTTTGGATGGACACAGATGCGCCCTGTTGATGATGACAAGTGGCTTCAGATATCTCATGCCGTGACAAATAAGTTCTGATGGGAAAATCTGCTGGTATGTGCACTCATGCACTGGTCCTGCATCCAATGTGTCACACAATGCTGGATGATACTCACACCATGCCTAACACATATGGCAACTGTGCACATTGACAAACTGAGGTCATGCAGCTCCAGGATATGATCTCATACTCCAGCCATTAACTGGTGATACATTCAAAGACGACAAAGTGCTAAATGAAACAGCATTAAACAAGGTTATTTTAACACAGTAAATAAAGAAACGGGAATATGCAACCAAAAATCAACAGATTTTACTTTAATTTTAAGTTATTTTTATATTAATTTACATAATAAATATGTTAAATAATACATATGTTAAATAATATATGTTTATGTTAAATAACACAAACATATGCACACAGAAATGTCAAGTTTATTTTTTGTGATGAAGGGTCTGGCTCTACCGAAATTCTTGATTTTTTTGCGATGAAGTTGTCTAGTGTCATCTGTCATTTTTTTCCTTCGTTAAGCAAATGTAAGTAGCAGGAGATCGCATCCAAAACTCCTTGTCTTGCTTTTCCACTCCTTTTAAAATCTGAATCATTGCTACAGTTTGATGAACGATTTTGGTTATCATTACCAAACTTTTACTAAGGAAATCTGTAGCAAGTTCTTTGGGTTCTTTGTTTTCAGAATGACTATTTTCCAGTTCTGTCATTTCTTGGAGGTCATCATTGGTAAGGCTCTCACCAGTAACATACAGTAACTCCTCAATATTAATGGTCCAAACAACTATATGGTTTGGACCATTGATGGCACATTTTTACATTAAGTTCTACTGTGTTAGTATAGCATATAACATTCCAAAACACAAATTTTTATACGTATGTTAATAAATCTTATGTTCTTGCTTATCAATTCTGATATTTATTTATCCTATTGCATGCTTTAAAATTTTTTTCTCTATATTGTGTTTTATTTGTTCCGAAAATCTAATCATAGCTCAACTGCTCATAAATGATGCAGCTGAAGTTCAATCATAATAATATTACTTAAACTATAAAATTAAACAATTGATAATGCAATGCCCTTTGTTTTCTGATATTAAATGTTTTTAATATGCAAATTACATAATTATGAATTTTTTCAAATTGCAATTGTTTTAATGAATATTTTTAAATTTCAAACATTTCCACATGCTATGTTGAAAGAATAATTAACTTAGGCAGGCAATAGGAAGGTAAATCAGAATTGTTAAAAATTAACAATAAATTTTATTACCAAATATATTTAAAGTTATCATAATTGTGTACTGAAAACTTACATCAGGAACAATACCAACTAGAGCATCAGCATGACCATAAAATTCCTCTTTTAAGGATATAACTATGCACTGAAAAGATATCTCTGTCTGTTCTCGAATGAAACGAGCAACCTAAAAAAATATAAATGAATTCAATTCAAATAATCAAAACTTCATTTTGCTGCAGTCCATTTTAATATCCCTAAATATACACTACAAAACAGTCGAGCAATAGACTCTTTAAATTATATACAGTTGATTCTGTTTAATTGGGGCAGCCTCTTTTTTTAGGCCAAATCCCAAAGAAAGGAAACCAAACTAATAAACTAATACATAATTTAAATGCTTAATTGGGACAGTAACAGAAAAGGAATTTAGCAATTTTTGATATATTTTAGGATCTTCCAAAAATATGTAGACACTACATACACTAATGTCATGTAGGTCTAATGGTTGACGGAGACAAAGCAATTTTGTCTTTTGCTTGGGCAGTTTGGTTTTTCTGGAGATGAGCATAGCAGGACATATCACACTTGGATCCTGTCTGAGGTGGACTGAATGCGAGCTATTGACCCTGCTCCGGATTGGACCAGACAATCCCTTAAAAGTGACAGGACAAAGACCACCCCCACAGACAATTTTTCAAGGTCTCTCGACCAAGTTGGAAGACTATTAGGGAACTGTAACTGAGTTCCCTGCTTAGTTTAATAAAGCATTAAAATAGGTAAAAAAATAATAATTAAGTACCTATGTATTACATATTTTATTTTAGAATTTATTATTAGTTTGTTTAATTAGGCCAAAATGGATTAATCCCAACTGTCCCAATTAAGTGGAATTGACTGTATATAGATAGCAATTAAGACTCAATTTAAAAATAGAGTATTTTACATGTTTTATATTTTATCTAAATAATATTAAATTAAACCTACTTTTCCGATGTTAGTATTATCCAGAGCTGCATCTATTTCATCTAAAACAAAGAATGGAGCAGGTTGATAACTGAAAAAAGGAAAAACACTGTAAATTTATGTTATTGAATGAAACAAAGTTAAATCAATCCTCTGTACCTGTGTATGGCAAACAGAAGAGCTAATGCTGCTACCGTTTTCTCTCCACCCGACAGGTTACTCATTGGCTGAAATCGTTTACCCGGCGCCACACAATTATAGTTGATTCCTTCCAAGTAAGGTTCTTCAGGATTTTCTGGACCCAGAAATGCCTGAGCACTCTGATTATTAGTTAAAGCCTGATGATAATTTAATAAAACATTAGTAATGCATTTATTTCTCAGAGAAGAAAGAGATCATGCATCAAAAACATCTGTTCTTACCTTGTATATTTCATCTATCCTATTGCTGACATGATCGAAACACCTCATAAATTTATCGTATCTGTCTCTCTTTACCTTTTCAAATGCTTGTTTAGCTTTTTTGGCTCTTTTTCTAGCATTTTCAAACTCTGTATCAGTTTCTTTCAACCTTTCTTTTACTCCATCCAATCTACAGATGAAAATTTAATAAACTATCAGTAATTGTTAAATTATTCCTTTTTGTAATTATTTATTATATGTATTTAAAACTAAATATATACTATAAAACTAAAAGTGGAAATAATATGTTGAGGCCAAGTGAATATTCTGTAAATATATATACAGTAATACCTCGACTTACACGAACCCGGAGTTACGCGATTTTCAAATCTCATCGATTTGTCTTTTGTTTGAGCGCCAAGCAACTCTCGATTACTCAATCTCCCCACACTATTGTTCGACTTACACGTTCAGACGTGTCGCGTGGAATCGACACATAGCCACAATTTATTTTGTGTTATTATTCTGTGTTTGTTATATCTACGGAGACTTGAGAGACTCTATGTGGTGATTTCTTCTAACCATGAACGAATCAAAAGACGAGATAAGATTAACGAGAATATTTATTAGCTTACATACATCCGACTTGGGTTTTACACAAATTGCGAAATTATACTCCAACTTACGCGGTTATCGCTCGATCCCACCTATCGCATAAGTTCGGGGTATCACTGTACATAGTCAACATGGCAGTAAATGACTTTAGATAAAATTCTAAACTTAGATAGATATAATTTGAATAATATGATCTAGTATGCAACAGTTGCAAGTTTGCAGTTAAGTCTCTCACTCCATTTTAATTATAAAATTTATCACACATGCAAGGAGTCCTGCCTGTGACATTCTGCACTACTACATCATCTCACATATTTTCATTACTTTCAACAATTTCTTTTATATTATTTACACTTATTTAATCTATATATCAATAAATTTTAACAAAAATAATTAACATAGTCTGTGCGGCAAAAGAGTAGAATTGAGTCAGTCTGACGCAGAAGGGTATGATGAATGAAAGATGATGCATGATTAACATTAGAATTAAGAGTAAGTAGTAAAAAAAAAAAAGTGAAATTGCAATGAATACAGAATAAAAATGTTTTAGAAATGCAAAACAACAGAGATTGGATCCATGTCTCGATTCCCATGGGGTAGCAACATGTCTCCTTCCATCCCTTTCATCTTACAGAGTTCCAGCTCATGCTGACTTGTGTCTACTCTTTTGCTGCACAGACTATAGTAAAACAGAAAACATTATTATTTAAAACAATGTGGAGCACACACTAATAATAATAATCTTCAAAAATAAGGCTGAAGCCATTTAAAATGGACAGTTGTGTTCCATTTTGTTTTATGAACATCCAGCATTAAACTAGAATACAAAATAATTGATATTTTCTTTGAGATTTTGGCTTTTTTATATAATATACTGGAAGTCCCATTTTCACTGGACCATTGATTAGAAGCATAACTAAAAAAGTCATTGTTTTGTGTTAGCAAATGAGACCAATGAAACTTCACTTATCTGTTAAGTAATATCATTTTATATATATGAGTAAAAATTCAAACTTTGGTTGAGACTATTTGTTTATTATTTTTATCATAAAAGCAACAAAATTTATCTGATAAAACTAAAATCTGACTACTAGATCATAAAAATATTTAGTTACAAAACTTTTATTAGACGACAAGATAAAATGTTAATTTTTTCTACTCACTTTTCTGTTGCTTTCATATTAGGAGCTTGAATTCTGTGTAAATGAGATTGCATGTCAGAGATTTCTTTATATAGACGATCTCCTTCACGTTTGACCTCATCGTGAGAATCCAACTAAAAAAATATATTTTTAATTCATTGGAATTTAATTATTAATTTTATTATTATGCATCAATACTTGTACAAATACTTACATCCTTATATTCTTCTGAAAGACCATTATAATCAATTCTAATTTTAGCTTCTCGTTCATATATTTTTTGAGTGCTTTGACTTCCAGAAATATCGGTTGATTCAGTATCGTCAGTCTGCATCGGAGTTTCGTGATCAATATCTTCCATTGTACCCTGTTGCATAGGAATAACAATGTCTTCGAGCTAGTAAAAATAAAAATCATCAGTTTGTATTATTTTTACAATAGGTTTTTAAAAATTAATTAAATAATAAAGAATATAGAATTAAATATTTACTTTACAAGCTTGTAGTAAACTGTGCCTGTCTGCCCTCTTTTGTTCCAATCTCGTTTCTAAACCAGTGACTAATTTTTGGGCAGCAGATATTTCTTTCTGAACGGTTGCTAAACGCTTTCTTACTTCTGTTATTTCATCTTCCATCGCATCTACATCTGTCTTTTTACTGATTTTTGAATTTTTTAACCTTTCTAGATTCTGCATTTCTTCGTCTATCAACTAAAAATGATCAATGATGAATTATGTCAAAAATTTTGTAAAAACAAACTACAAATTTTAAAAATTTGTAACAAAACAATTATCCGTACTTGCATCTGAGTTGTTTCAGCTTTTTTCAATTTAACAAGTTCTTCTTCATCTTCTTCCACTGTTTTTGTCCACTTGCGCATATTCTCTACATTAAAAAATTTCAATTTTATGAATAAAAGTCTATTAGCAAAATTTACAAAATAAAGATAATCTTAACTTGAAATACCTAAAGTATCTTTGGAACGTTCATATTCTAAACGATTAATAATTCTATTTTTTTGATTATCAAACTCTAATCTCCTTTTGTCCCTTTCTTGTGTGGCTCTTAATTCCCTCTCTTCATATTGTCTAGGAAGAACAAAATATACATTATAATAAAATGTTTAATGATGATAATACCAAGATTTATTATTTTTTCTGAAATAATCCAATCACCTGATATTTTCAACTCCGATGGAAGTACAAAAATCAGCAAAAACTCTGTCTTCTACAGTATTCATGGATTCTTTTACTTCCTGAATTTTTACTTCTCGTTCTTTCATCCTCTCTTGAATTTCTTGAATACGAGGCTATTTATAATTTTTAAATGTGAATAACATATTTATTATAAAATTAAATTAAATACAAAATATAGTTCATATTTACATCAAATGTTTCGATTTCTTTTTCCAAAGCTGCTATGTCTCTTTCTAAATTAGCAATTACTCTTCTTTCCTGAACAAAATTTTAAATACTTTGTTGTATCTAATTAATTCAAACAAACACATATGAAAATTAATTAAATTACTGTATTTTCTTTATCGGTAATAGAATATTTTAAGCGAGTTTCCAATCCCCTGATCTGAGATTGTATTGTGGTTAAATCAGATTCTTTTCTAGTTTTCTTCATCATTTCCTTTAGTTCTTCTGTCAGTTTCTCTTTTCTGTATTTCAGATTATGAAGAGCTTTTTCGTCCCATCTCCTTGCTCTTTTTGCTAAATCCCTGAAACATTTAAAAGTTATTTTCAAGTAAAATAAAATTTTTAAAGCAAGAAATATATAAATGCCAATTTATCTTACGTGCTACCACCAGATATAAATCCATTCTTTTGATAATAAGTACCATCGAGCGCAACTGCCTATGTGAAAATAATTAAACAAAATAAAGACATTTGAAATAGAAAAATGAAATTGTAAATTAATTATAAATTTCTTTTACATCATAACGTTTTCCATCGCCTAATTCGTAAGCTACTTTACACGCATCTTCTGCAGTTTCACAAACTAATGCATTGTTAGTTGCATAAAGAATGGCCCTCTTTATCGCAGGTGGATCATACTGAAGAACGTCGTACAATAACTTCACATTTTTTGGTTGTTGAATATTTCTGAAAATATTTGAGCATGTATATTTTCAGAAATAAAATAAGAATTGTTTCTCACGTTTATCACTACTTGCATTTACCTGAGTCTTTCTTTAAGTGGTTTGGCATCAATATAATCCAATGGAAGAAATGTTTCTGCTTCTAACATTTGCTCTTTCAAATATTGGATACAAGACCTTCCCGTACGTTCAGTATCCACGACAATTGCTTCCATATTCCTCCCGAGTACTTTAGTGATGGCAACGTTGTAGCGTTTATGAATGGGTTGACACATATTTACAAGTCGATCATACTGGAAAATATACAGTAACAAAGAATAAATATCTTACAGATAATTTTGTAAAATGTCAAAAATTAAAGAGACAAGACAAAATGAATTCATGAATTGATAATTAATATATTTAAACAAATAATCTGTAAGAATAATATATAGTTGTTACTTTACAAAGTTTAGACATTACATCTATCCTATCAATATAAATTATTTTCAAGATAAATTTATAAATTCCATCAATAATTTATATCATTAATATTTGTATTGACATTACAAATCTTCAATTTGTATATTGAGATGGACTCAAACTTACTATAGGTTTTCCCGCTGAAAATAGAGTATTCCCATGAAACCTTTCATAAGTCAAAACAGCATAAAGTGAAGAAGCAATTTATGATTAACTTATATGAGAAAATTTGAGTTTTTCCAGAGATAAAATTAACTTATAAATCATACCAAATAACCAACAAAACCTAAAATAATTCTAACACATGGTAAAAACAGAAATAATAGGAATAATATGATAAATACACAGCCTATATAAAGTAGAAATGTAAGTACAGTGTAACCAGTGAATCTGCACCAGAAGTATTCTGGTGCAGATTCACTAATTACACAAACTTTCATAAAGTAGAGGATACCAATTGAGCAATTTAAAGTATTTTGAACATTTATTCTTACTTTGAAATAATCATTATATACAAATAATTTCATACTTGTATCTAGTTGAGAGTTCTTTATTAATACAGTGGAACCCCGGTTAACGATCGTCCTGGTTAACGACCAAATCAGTTAACGAACTATTTTGCAAAAATTTTGTCTCGGATAACGAACTTAACGGCTTTTTGTGTCAAATTTGTAAGCTTGCCGACTTTTAGGGAAAATCAGTTAATCGTGTGTCGGTGATGGTCTAGGGCCCATTCGTACGTTGGTGATGGCAGAGGAGACAAAGATGACAAGTATTTTACAGTAAAAATCATTTATTAGAACGGGAAGATGCTTACATATTTGAGGTAGTTGGAAATGGCTTATCTACAGTATTTTCTCTCGGCACTGAGTAGTGACATATCACTGGTCCTACGATAGTGCAAGTTGATCAGTCGTAGCCCCAGAGCGGACGAGATGGGTTCGCTTGGTCACAGAAGCGATGATAGGTGACAGAGCTGCAACGACTTGAGCGGTCCGAGACACAACACAAATTTTAGCGGGCACGACTTCAGGCTTAATCCAGATGAAGACGACACAGATTAATCGCCATAGAATTTTTAGGAAAACTGCATTTTGACCTTGAGATTCGGGGTTTTTTATGTATTTTTCCCTTGAATATCACCTTACGATTAGTCCTGTGTCCCATTCCTCCCTTCCCGATTGTTTTCTTCTTTGTCTCCAGGTGAAAACCGAAACCAGATCAGGTCACGAGGTTTGTTCCGAGGCGTTTATTTGACACCTGTTCGTCGACTCTGATCAGAGATTGTTGATAAACCTATAAGCCTTTTGCTCATAATTTAGCCTATTGTTTCTGCTATCTGTCATTTTAAAACTTTAACGATCGTGTGTGATGTTTTAATACCCGTCAAATCTTTCCCCTTTTCCGAAAATTTAACCTAGATCGACTGTTTATGAGCACGTTTTCCTATATTTTCATTAAAGATAACCCATTTTACAAATAAAATTACAAAAATACTGATGGCTAGAACGGATTAATTGTATTTGCATTATTTTCTATGGGAAAAATTGCTTCGGTCATTGAACAATTCAGTTAACGAACGGACTCGTGGAACGGATTACGTTCATTAACCGGAGTTCTACTGTATTAACAACAAACTAATGCATTCTGTCAATATTTGTATTTCTTTTTAATTTTTTGAATATTTTATAAAATGAACATGTAGTAAATATATAAATATTAAATGTAATCAAAAACTAATGGTGAATACACATATTAAAAAAGTTTTATTAAATATAATACAAATTTAAGTTAATTATTTTCAAAATAGTTCTCTCTGCTAGCCACATGTCTATATTCCAATACAATTCCTACCATTCTGCCACTTTCAAAAGCAACTATAAAAAAGTTGTCTGATGGAAGCAGAGGCAGTTTATTCCAGGTATTTATAACAAAATCTATAAAATTAACTCTCCAGAGATTTTTTACATGACTCAACCTGAATATGATGGACCCCATCCCCTGCTATTTGGCCACTCCCAACATGGGCCTGGCCAAACTCAGAATGGATATGAATAGAAAGGCCCTTTTAGTGTCCAAAGAAGAAAACAGTCAAAAATGGAAAATTAATTGATACCATTAATGTTCTCAAAGGATCTGATGTAGCCACTTGGACAGCTGAAAAATTAATCAAACTGGGTTTCCCTTTCATCATTACTTGAACTAAGCCAAATAAAAATCTCCAAATCATTGGATATTTCTCAGCAAGTTAGCCTTCTCAGATTATTTAATTTTTTAAGCATTTCGGTTTGTAGTCAAAGTCAAATAATAATAATAATAATAATAATAAAGTCGTCAATTAATCGATATAGATCCATTAAAGAATCATTCAAACCATTCATAAAACAGCTTTTTTAAAATCACAGTAATATGTCCATAAAATTTCACATTTTGTGTATTTGTATGACTATCCAAGTTTGAAGAAAAATTACAAAGTCAGGCAATTTTTAGAAACATAAGCATAAACACAACCCAATGGTTTCCTTCTTCAAAGTTGCACATTTTTTACATTTTTTTTTTAAATCACACTTTATATTACATTAATCAATAATACTTAGAAATTTACATTTACTTACCACTCCAGGAAATAGCCTTTTAAAATGATCAACAATTTCTGCTTTTTTTCTCCTCCTCGAATCTTCGTGTTTATCAACCTAATAAAATATATTTTTAATAATTTGAAATGAGACATTCTGATAAATTTCATAATTTAAACCATCAATGTAATTACTATTAAATTCTTATAAGTCANATATGAATAGAAACTGAATATGGTATTTTAATATCAACTCAACATTAATTCAAATATATTTTTATTAAATTTATCTGAAAGCAATTCGTAAAAATTAGGGGAAAAAACAACTTTTCTAATTTGTTTTCATACCTTGTATAATATATGACATTTAATGACAAGCAGCAATAAACACTCTGGAGGTATCGACAGATAAAGCATACAAAAAGTGAACGATATATCGTTTATATTGTATATATTTTATTTCAATTAAGTATGAATTTGAAAATTTGTTAATTATATCTCGATAATAATTGGATACATTTCTACCGCTTTAACAGAATTATAAGTTTTGTGTCAATGCAATCTACTTAAACTATTACTTATACTTATGATAAATCACTAAATTATATTTAGTGATTTATCATATTAATTTATTAATATTAACCACGGAATTATTATATATATATATTTAATAGTTTTTAATTGGCTGCAATTTGAAAACATTGTAGACTATAAATTACCACTGTACTGTCGTCTGTCCGGTTGTCTTTCCTTCCTTATTAATCTCGAGAACAGTTAGATAGATGAAAGCCGAGACAAGATGTGGAAAGATTGGGGGCAGGTGGCCCGATTAACTACGAACTTTCGATGCAAACCGGAAGTCACGTTAATTCAATTCAAAAAGTTTCCCCCTGAAAAGAGTTAGATAGATGACTGGCATGACTCTATTGCTAACAGGAAAAGTATGATGTACAGGGTAAGACACTACTAATTTGAGGTGGAGAGTATTTTAAATTAAACAAATTAAAAATATGATTAAAAATTGCAGCTTGGCATTGTGACGATGTCACAATAAATAACTGCTCGTTTTATTTACAATTTAAAATTATTATATTTGTACGTATTGTGTATGCAAGTTTTGTACTGTACATAATTTTCTCTTTCTGTATATTTACAGTGTATCTGTTCAATAAATAAATGCTTTTGCATTTTTCTATATTGTACATAAAAAATATATATAAAAAGTTTTTTAAATAAAATATCATAACAGATGGCGCAACACACAATTTTACATGTTGCCGGGAAAGTTAAGCCATTCGTTGTTCAAAAGATTCATTATACAGACGAAACAGAACCTCTACAGTTTGAGAACATCTTTCCACTATTATTGTTTTTTATTATTACAGTATTATTTTTTTAATAAAATAAGCTACAACATGAATACAGTGGAACCCCGGTTAACGAACGCCCTGGTTAACGACCAAATCAGTTAACGAACTATTATTTTGCAAAAATTTTGTCTCGGATAACGAACAAAATTCGGATAACGAACTTAACGGCTTTTTGCGTCAAATTTGTAAGCTTGCCGACTTTTAGGGAAAATCAGTTAATCGTGTGTCGGTGATGGTCTAGGGTCCATTCGTACGTTGGTGGTGGCGGAGGAGACAAAGATGACAAGTATTNATTATATCTCGATAATAATTGGATACATTTCTACCGCTTTAACAGAATTATAAGTTTTGTGTCAATGCAATCTACTTAAACTATTACTTATACTTATGATAAATCACTAAATTATATTTAGTGATTTATCATATTAATTTATTAATATTAACCACGGAATTTTGACTTAATTATCAATACAGTATATTCAAATGGTTCAGAATATTCCGAAAAGATATCGACAGATGGCACTACCATCGATATTTCAGCGTTTTTCTGTTGAATAAATTGAATTTATAAAAATGAATTATAAATATTTTTTCCTTTTGAAAATTATATAATGAATTCCCCATATACTTATCAGCGAACCAGTTTAAAGAAAACTATTTTTTTTTTCCTTTCTTTTTTTACTTTGGTTTCCTCAAACCTCATTGAAGGAAAATCAGAAAGAGAAGTCAAACTTTATGTAAAGCCCTTGTCTCTTTTTTTTTCTTAAAAATAAATTAATTTTAATTTAATGAAGATTTATATTTACGTAATCCTAACATTGTGTATAGAGTATATAATAAATTATTCTGAGAACGTTTACTAATGATATAATGAGAGTGAGGCGCATTGTCTTTCGTTTTGTGGATTATTTTACAACAAAAATACTTAAATTAGTGACTATTATTTTTAAAAATTAGGTAAAACTAATTTTTCCAACCTACGAAATTGAAATTTGAAAGGCGAAAACTATAGAAAATGTAGATGTAGGCCTAATATCTTTGCTAATATCAGAGTAGGACAAAGTTCATCATCAGCGAGTTTTGCTTTAAAAAATAAAACATAATTCGGGCCTAAAGACTTAATTATTAATCGATAAAAATATACGTTATATATATTATTTTGATAACAGATACTTAATAGAAAACTTGCATTAAAATTAAGAACTTTTATTCTTCATATAAAGAAATATTAGTTTAATACAGTATTCTATATTTAAATATATGTTGCTGAGTCACTCAAAACAGGCAGTATTCTTAAATTAATTTAATAAACAAATAGTTACATAGAAAAACTATGAAGGTTCTCGCTTTCGATTTTAAAACATTTAATTAAAGATAACCTACTTACAAATAAGTCTTTATATAATTATTTTGGTAGACGGATGAAAATTTGATGTGCTCCCGTATTTAATAAAATAAACGAGAACATAACGTTCGAAAAATAGCAAGAAAAATGTATAGGAAATACATTTAAAAAGAACACAATACTTATTAATGAACAATGAGGAGACAATAAAATAAACTGCATGTCATAACAGGTAGCAAATTCTTTTCTCAACGAAGATAATTGAAAGAAGGAAAAAATTATTTTGTTAAAATTAAACTTTCTATATACTTACAGCTTTCTAAAAGTTCTAAGCAACGTAAAGTTATGTTTTCTCTAAAACATTTGAATGTACAGTACATTTTAGAGGGGGGAAACTCAAATTTTTAAAATAGAGAAATTCCCGTAGATATGACAACTATTCACAACAGATTAAACTGATTATTTAAACAACGGATCTTATTAATATAGTTATTGTTAATCATACACCAAAATACACCACAAAAATTATTAAATACTGTATACAGATTCATGTATTGAAATCAAGTATCATTGGCAGATAAAAATCACTGTCGCATACCCGCACTTCTCTGTCACTAATTACGCTTTTAGAACTCTAAGTAATAGTTTACAAACTTTAGATCTAGCAAATCAAGTACAACTTGCCCAGCATCTAACACGAATGTCATGCATTTATATATACACGTGTATATATGTATACGTACGTAATAAACACATATAGGTTGTAAATAGAACTTATAAGAAAATTTTGACATTGCACTTTAATGACGTTTTAGCTGACGGCTTCACCCCACCATTCTCTCCACCCCGAAACCATATAAACATAACAAACTGTAAAACTTAATCATGATATATGTGTGTGTGATTGCACTGTAATGATACGTGTGTCGGGTGGGGCCATCCCAACATCCCCACAAGTTTTATGTAAAGAAATCGTTATATTCACATAGTGAATATTTATATTTATGCGATCCTAACATTATGTATATAGAGTTTATATTAAATCATTTCGAGAGCGTTTACTAATGAAATTATAATGAGAGTGAGGCGGATATTTCGAAAACGATGCAAAATCGATGATAAAAGTCATCTAACTTAATGTGAAACGAAGTACAGCGGAACCCATATTTAGCGTTTTCGGCTTAAAATTGAGGCAAACTTAGAACAGGGGTTTGGTTTTTACAGAGTAATATAAAGTAAGGGCAATTAAAAATAAACGTATAATCAGAATAAACGTTAAATCGAGAAACGTTAAAAGCAACGTCTAACGTGCTGTACGTCTAAAGCAAAATACAGGGTGTCCATAAAGTCCGTGTACAATTTAAAAATTTATAATTTTATTAGTATTTGTGATAGAAAAAATCTGTAAAAAGTATTAGAAAGTTTAATGTACTGTACCTAGTTTTAAGTAGTAAAATTATTTAGTAACTCTTCAAAACACTAATTTAACAATTTTTCGAAACTTTAAACTTTAGAGAACTACAAAATTCTTTGAATTACTAATGATGTTGGACATGTGGAAACTTAGAAAATCTATATTTTTTATTGTTTTATTTTATTAAGTTTCACAAATACTAATAAAGTTAAAAATTTTTTAAATTGCACACGGACTTATACCCTGTATAGTAAGCTATTTAATGAAATTGTGTTGCGCAACTATTTAAATTTTACTCATTTAATATTTACGAATTCCAGAAAAAATTTGACAATGCTTAATAATTAGTGACAATGTAATATTAAAAAACCTCATTAAGATTGTTTTTATGTTATGATGTGTTTTTTCCCCTTTTGTTAAGGGTGTGGCTGGAAGGTTTTCTTGGAAAGTCATCTTCGATAATAATTAATAAATTATATTTTCGGATCGAACATCGAATAAAATTTTAATGTATGATATATTTTATTAAATTATTATTAAACTGAATTTCTTTTAATATTTTATTAATTATCAAGAGACAGAAGTAAAAAATGGCAAATTAAAAAATATATAGGCTATATAATTTACATATATATTAACAATTATTTTAATGTTAGAATAAGTGTTTTAAATATGGCTTTTTTATCTAAAAACATTTAAAAAAGCCTCTTACAAAATTATTTGCGTGTGTGTGTTTCTGTGCATCTATTTTGCATTATATCTCAGGACTGAATGAACCAAAAATTTTGAAACTAGGCAGGTTAATTCCTATATATGGGGCATTGATACTATTAAATTTAAGCGGTTAAAAATCAAGAATTGGCGAGACGGAGGAGACTCACCTGTCGTATCTCAAATGGTGTTAGACTTAATGAACGTTTTACTTATCACCACTTACAATTTGTTTATAAACTAACTCCTACCTTAAAATAAGTATTTTTCCTTTTTATAATAATTAATAATATAGAAATACTTTTAAATATAATTTCGTAACAGATGGC